ATCCTTGCTGTTGACTCTGCCATGTGTGGTGTTATCTCTTGTCTTTTTCATTCTGACTCTTGTAACTTTGCTGTAGGCCTTATGTTTATCAAGCTCTACAGTTTCAAGGCAGGTCAATGGCATCCAAGGAAGCAGAGCAGACATGATTATTTCGGTTAGTTACGCTCTATTATGCCAGGTCAAGAAATGAGGCTATATATTTTGTATGTGCTTGTATGCACATTAATTTTAAAGGTGTCTTGTTTGCAACTCGATAAATGGCTGGAGAATCAAGCATGAAAGTGTGGTAATTGGCCATTTGGCCTAATTTATTGAGCTGAGCTGAAAGTTTCTGTCTTCTACATGGAGAAATCTGGAAGTAAAAGCTAATTATTGTTGTGTGCGCTCTTCGTAGGTTTTAGTGAAGCAAGCTGGTTTGAAGCTTCAGGAAAATGTGAGATCATTTACACTTTATCGACCTTATTTTCTAGTTGTTTATGCCTTCACTACTTAAATACTATCTCCCCTCTTATACATATTACTAGAGCATCTGACTTAATATGCCGTACTCATACAGCTTCTAAAAAATGTGAGCTACAAAAGTAAGGATTCTGAGTTTCTTGTGTAATTGTATGTGATATTTCCTCCTCTAGGCCATCTTTTTAAATGTGGTGAGTGGAGTGACACTAACAGAGACGTCTGGTGATCTTGCCATAGCAGCAGCAATCTGCAGCAGGTGCGCTCTCTGTCATGTTGTTGATGTCCGTTTTTTGCATGAACGAAAAGTGCAATGCCGCTAAAAATATGAGCAATTGATTTGGTTCTCCTAGCACTGATCAATTTAGTGCATTGATGAGTTGTTCATGAACTTAAAATGTTCTCTTTCCTTCCCTTTTCCTTTGTCATGCTCTCTTTAGCTTTCTTGAGTTTCCCATTCCCTCTGGCGTTGCTTTTATTGGAGAGATTGGCCTCGGTGGCGAGCTTCGCGTGGTAAGATCAAGGTTTCCAAATTTTTTGGTCAACTTAAGTCATCACGACTAAGGCAACTGCAATTGTCCCCTCTGCCTTTGCAATTTGATTTTGCCATGTCAATAAGTTTGATGTACTTTCTAGGTTCCTAGAATTGAGAAGAGGGTGCACACTGTGGCAAAGCTCGGATATAAAATGTGTATTGTCCCAAGGTCAGCTGAGAAAGCTCTTGCGAGTTCATCCTTTGGTGACATGGTCATCGTAGGGTGTCGGAATTTGAAGGAAGTCATAAACACCGTGTTTACCACATAGATTGACTGAGGCAAGATTGGTTTGTGATCAATCATTACATATTCAGAGGGATTTGACAATTACCGATCACATTGAAGTCTCCACAGTCACATGATCGAAAAGTTCAGGTCTGTTAAGAGCTTGAAAAGGGGTTTATGATATGCAGGCTGCACTCGTCTATATCGGAAGATAAAAAAACTTAGGCTGTGAAGTTAAAATCGTAAGTATCTCTTTGATATCTTTAATATCTTATTACCGGTGTAGATCTTTGTATTTAACTCGCGCTGTGTAAAATGACTGACGGACATTGTCAAAATGCTCGTTTTGCAACGTAATGCGTAATTTGTTAAAAAATTTTACAGCACGTTCATGTGTTCAAAAGTGGCAGATGAGATCACATTTTCGATTTCAATTTCGTGCCTCGCTGCTTCTACATGTTGGGTACTGGTCATCATGCTCTCTACCTTTTCTAACGTCTCGTGAATCCCTAAATCTCAACGCGAATGATCTGGTCTTTGGGCGGACTAACCAAGCAAACTTAGTTTTGACCCCCAAGAGGTGGTCTATGGATACCATGGGACTGCAATGAATAATAAGTATTCTGTAATTGCATACGAGTAAGCAGAATTAAAGGGAGTGTTTTTAAGGATTCTTGGCGAGCGGATCTCCAATTCGTTGGTGACCGTTGGATTCAAAAGAAGAGTAAATTTCGAATGTTGTATTATGATATATAAGCGTCATGAAAAAACATAGGAATAAATGTATTGAAAGTCGTAAAATTTATCATGTAAGTGTAATTGAGACCTAAAAGTTTAAAAAGTGTAATTAAATTTTAAAATTTGTTACGAAAGTATAATTGAATCTTAAAATTTTCAAAAAGTGCAATAAAATCTTAAAACTTGTCACATTAGTATAATCAAGTTTTTTCATTAACTCTTTTTAACTTGACGAACGGAAATTGCTAACAAATTTTGAAATTTGATTACGCCAACTTTATAAGTTTTGGGATTTGATTGCGTCAACTTGATAAGTTTTAAAATTTGATTGCACTTGTAGAAAATTTTAGAATTCAATTAAAAGGATTTAATTGTATTTTCGTGGCGAGTTTTAGAATTTTCGTTCCACTTATCTCAAAGAGATATTGTGACCCATTATGATTTGACTATCCATCCATCCATGGGTAAATAATAGGATTTCACGCAGGTGAAATGCATGGCAAAGGACAAAAGGCCTGAACAAAAAGTTGTCCTTATCAGATTGAATTGAGGTTGGATGCTTTTTTAATCTTTCTTTTTTTTTAATTAAAGCAGATATAGCTGGACCTTTTGTCATTGAAGATAAGAGAACGATCGTGACCGTTTCACGAATAAAACGTGTCCCAAAAAGCATGGCTGAAAATCATCAGAAGTCCCTGTAGAGACTTATCTGCACAACGTTAACAAAAGTAGTATTAAAAATTAAGAAAAGGTGGGAAGAGGGTCCAAAGCAAAAGTTACAGAAAAATCCAAAATTATGTATAATGTGACACATTGATTTTAAATTTTTTTGTGATATTAAAATTCTCAAATTTATACATGTGTGATATATTTATCCTCCGTCAAAATTCCCAAATAAGGACTATTAAAAATCTACTTATATAGACGCCGGACAACCCACATGACCTAAGTAAAATAAAAATAATATGACGGAACCTTGACATGGGGTAAATCTGTCACATAAGTATAAGTTTTGAATTTTTTATATTACAAAAAAAATTAAGATAAATATATCACGGCATAGTTTGGGGTTTACGATGACATGAAGAAAAAGTTCAAGGTTAATTTGTTACGGTGGGCATAATTTGAGAGTTTTTTGTGGCTTTTTTCCTTAATTAAATATTTTCCAGATTTTCAAGTAACGTCAGAAACGTGATTAATGTCCGAATTACTCGACTTTATTATTTAATAATTTAAATCAATAACGCAGATGTTCTTTAATCTACATAAGCCAGAGGATAGTGCATGTCTCTGGTGAAATTTGAAGACATTTGGACGGTGACGAGGTGAAGGCAGGAACTTTTATACGTGTGGATATGCTAGAGGATATTCTTACAAGTTCATAGGAGATACTTTTTTCCCTATTTATGTCGTAAGTGTCCTATTCATTTAGCGTTTGCCTTAATAGTTTCATAATACTTAATTAGTAGTGCTCCCACAAAATTTTAACATTGTGTCGGGGCAAGCGGTCTTAAATTCAAATACTACCGAACCCATATTTTCCTCTCCTATTATATATTTCCAAACTTCAATCTCAAGCCAAAGTTCTAGTGTATGCGTGAGAGGAAAATCACGTCTTAATCTAATAATTTAATTTTTTAGAACAGTGGGAGTGATTCTGCAATATCTTAGATGGCATTAGAAGGTTTTGAATTCAATCTTTTTACACTTTATTATATTTCTCAACGCTTTAATCTTAGGGAAAGGGGTCTTTATATATATATATATATATAGCTTCTAAATAGTTGATAATGATTCTACATCATTTACAATAATTGCTCTGCCCTTTGTTTTCCTTCAATGTTAGTATCATGCTAGAATATGCCATACTTTTCTCATCTCTTTGTCATAAAGAAAACACAATCCTAGTTCTACGGAGAAATTACCAAAAAAAATCATAACCCTATTGTACTTGTGTCAATTCGATCCTAAACCTTTTAATTGTATCAATTTAATTCTAAACATTTTCACGTTTTGCCAATTGAGTCCATCTAGCCAATTTTGGCTAAAAATCCCTAATGTGGACATCGGGTGTCTTTTGTGACACAGCCAGCGCTGACATGGGTATATTTTAATAGTTTTTTAGATTTTTTTATAATTTTTTTGGATTCCCTCAGTCCAAAAAGAAAGAAAAGAAAAGAAACAAAAAAACCATTAAAATATTATTTAAAAAGTCCACATCAGCACCGGCATTGCCCTATGTTAGCAATTTCCGGTCAAATTTGGCCGAATGGACTCAATTAGCAAAACTGAAAATGTTTAGAATTAAATTGGCACAATTAAAAGGCTCAAGATTGAATTAACACGATTGCAATAGGTTTAAGACTTTTTTTGTAACTACTCCATAGTTCTACCCTCAAACTCTTTGGTCTAGAAAATTTATCATAAGATCCATGTAAATCTCTCTCATTGCTAGATTCCAAACTTAAAGGCTCCGTTTGTTTCACGGGAAACGAATAATTTTGGAAGACATTTTTCTAAAAAGACTGCTTGTATCACTTGGAATAATTAGCCAATGGAAAATGTTTTCATCATCGACAATAATTTATGTCTAAACATATTCTTGGACGATGCAAATAATTTTCATTCAATCATTTCTGCAAGCGATATAAACGATCATTTTTAAATCATTTATTTTCCGCGAAACATACAGAGCGTAAATCTTCCGCATTCTCAGCAATTTAAATTTATCTCCTAGAATAAGACAAATCACATATTGTTCTCCTTTTACTATTTTTTCTTTATCATCTAATTTGCCCAAGTCTGTATGTCCCGTTTTTGCTGGTATTTGAAGAAAAGGACTCATAAATTTATAACAAAGTATGCGATGTAAAGTAGGAATTGCTGTGCATTATTGAAACAAAACAAACGATAAGATAGGTCCATGCGTTCACAATGATTGTTGGATGCACGTGAAGCGTGGATCAGCACATGTATACAGTGAAGATTGATCAGCTATTCATAACCAGGTTTAAAATAGGAGTCGTTCTTGACAGGATGTGGCCTATATAAAGGGCAACCAATTCTTGCATGCGTGCAAGTCATTAACCAGAGCCTTTTGCCTAATAATTCAGCTTCAAGATTAAGAGAGAGAGAGTATGAAGCCGACAAGCCTTGTCCTCCTCGTCCTCGCCATCATGATCCCGGCATCGTTGGCCCTCGCCAGCGAAACGCCCAACAAGATCCACCCGCTCCGGCCGCAGGCTGGCTCCGGTGGCCACCGCATCCCGGGCGTCTCCTGCCTGAGCTGGCGGCTCGCGGTGGAGACCGACAACATCCAGGACTGGGACCTGGTCCCCTGGGCATGCGAGAACTACGTCGGGCACTACATGCTCGGCCACCAGTACCGCAAGGACTGCAACGCTGCGGCGTGGGCGGCGTACGACTACGCCAAGGGGCTGACGCTCAAGAAGGATGGGAAGGACGTATGGATCTTCGACATCGATGAAACCTCCCTCTCTAACCTCCCTTACTATGCCCGCCCCGACAATGCATTTGGGTAACTTAAGGGTCTAAGGCAGACATGAATGTGTACAGTTCAGATGTACTTACGAACTAAATGAAAACATCTAGCGTTTTTAACGATATTCGATGATCCAGGGCAAAGGAGTACAACGAGACGACGTTTAAGGAATGGGAGCTGGAGGGCAAAGCCCCAGCTGTGCCAGCGATACTTGGCCTGTACAAGAGGCTGCTGAAATTGGGGTTCAAGATCGTGTTCATCTCCGGCAAGTCCGAGAGCTTGAGGTCGATCACTGTCTACAACATGAAGAAGGTGGGCTACTACACTTGGGAGAAGCTCATCCTCAAGTAAGCAGAAGCAACCTCACCATCCAATCTTCGACGATTTTTCTACTTACTCCTTTCGACCTAAACTAAAACAGCAAAACACTCATCGACGCAGGCAAACATCAGAATCCGGGACGACAGCAATGGTGTACAAGTCGAAGCAGAGGAAGGAGCTTGAAGAGGCAGGCTACAGAATCCTGGGGAACATGGGAGACCAGTGGAGCGATCTGCTGGGGACTCACGTCGGGAACCGCACCTTCAAAGTCCCAAATCCGATGTTCTACATCGCCTGAACCTCGGATCACTTTTTCAAATCATTCAGCTTCGATCATCGTATGTCGGAGTCTATGCCCCGCTAAATTTGTAGTATTGGATAAGGTCAATAAGAGCTTAAGGTAGATTCCCTCGAAATGCTTTAATGTCTTGTCCTTATTGCGAAGGATGTTTCAACTACCACTCTTTTATCTAGTACTATGATGGATATGGCTTGTCTCTATGTCCAATTAGATGTGCAATAATTGTGAGGTACATTTGCTTAAGTCCATGCCTCTAACTCTTTCACTCTCAACAAAGCCATTGAACTTCGAACTCGTTTAAATACTTGACTAATCTCCATTAAGTGTGACAACAACTCATCCCGCGCGTATAAAATAATTACCGAAGGACACTAAGCTTCGTCCTCTTGAGAGTGGCTTCGAGAGAATCCATGAATAAGACAATTGGAAACTAAGCCTTCATCAAAATGAACGCGCGTTTATCGCTTGAGCAACAAAAGTGGAATCGATAGATATCGCTGGATATGTGGACAAGAGACCTCGGCATCATCCTTTGGTTGAGAGGATAAAAGGGGGAGTATGTAAGCCTTTTGTGAGTTAAACAAGGGATCGATTTGTAGATTAATGGAATGTTTATGTAAATCTCGAACTCCAACGATTGCAAAGCGTTAGGTCAATTACTCAAACGAGGACTCAAAATCCAATTATGTACATTCATTGATTCTGATCCATTTATTAAGCCTAAAGGAGTTTCAGACTACGTTCATATATGCGGTATACATGTTTATCGAGTTTTTCTTTGATCCAACGATGGAGGACATTGGACTACGTTCATATATGCGGTATACACGTTTCCATGAAATAATGTGGAGGGACGAGGCCACACACAAAGTAGAATTTGACGAACAGGGAGACTGCACACTTGAAATAAACCGGGTAGAATTCAAATTTGATAATATGTTAGAAAGTCTAATCCAAAAGTTTAAACCGATAAATGAAAGAAGATCACGTGATACAAACGCCATAGACATACGATTTGGGATACTTTAACGTGATCAATCATGGGCAGACGAATAATTTGGTTGATTAAAGAACAGCTCGAGTTAATCAAGATGACCGCCTCTTTTCCGCTTCATATGTTAGAATCTAATCGATTATGTTGGGCAATCTAAGTCAAGATGTAATATTTAAATGTACATCATTGTAGGAGATTTGTCCAGTGGCTAATTAATAATTATAAGCTGATTAAAAAATTAACCCGCGTCCTTTTCAAATTATTGTGGACTTGCATTTGTTTTCTGGACCGAAGGAAAACGAGACAAATCTATTTATCTCGTGCACGTTTCATGTGCTTAATTCTTAAAAACCATTATTGTCGTGTGGGCTGTATTATAATTAATTATGAAAAGCATCAGAGATTAGAGATAGCATATTCCATTTCCATCTTCCGGTAAAACCATTCAACTTTAATAGCGAAAGACCGTAAAAACAGAGTAATTATGGCATTCTCTATAGGGGTAATGATACAAATAGTCTCTAAACTTTGATCAATGTGCCACGTGATATCTGAACTTTTAATTTGTTTAATCTGGTCTATGAAGTTTAGCACAATGTGCAATGTGATCCTTGAACTTTCAATTTGTTCAATGTGGTTCACATGGTTAACTTAGTCCCTAAACTATATAAAAATAATCAACGTCGTCTTTCCATTAATTCAAGTTCAGGGAATACATTGAACATTTTCATATAGTTCAAAGACTAAACTGAACATAAACTAAAAGTCCAGAGATCACATTGAACAAATTAAAAGTTCAGCGACCACATTGGATATTAGGCCAAAGTCCATGAATCATTTGTGTCATTTTTCCTTTTCTAGATGGAAACACTCTGGCTTCTCTCTTCGTCTATAATATTTTTGGTAACGGCAAGATTTTCCATTTTCATGGAATATTTCTATGAACTATTTTTTTTTGTCTAAATTGGTTTTGTTATCCTTTTTTGTAAAAATAAAAACAGACCCTTAAGCAAGCACGATTAATGAATGGAACTATACATTATTAACCTTAAATTTACAGACTATAATTATTATTTACATCGAATCAAGTCAAAGATTCACATTCTCCAGCTCTGGCACATGGGGCACCTTTTCTTTCTTCCAGCAAGCAATTATAGGCCTCGAAAATAAAAGCAATCATTTGGTTGAATAATACTTTTTTGACCAATTCCTTTCATTATATCTAATTTCTTGAAATTGACTCCAAGCTAAGTTCTGCTTTTCAAATGACAATCACATGGGACTTGGCAGATTTCCCCATCTTCCTTCCCCCCCTTTTTTTTTCGATTAAATAGATCACTTATTAAATCTGAAAAGAAGTGTTTATTAACGGTCGCAATGCATATGTCTATTTTGTAGGAACCTTAAGCATCTCCAAAATTGATTTTTCTTTTTTTTGTGACTAAACGGTATGCCCGTAGCAATTGAAGTAGGAACGGAAGAAATAGAAACAACTTTCGAAACCGGAAGAAATGAAAATCGGAATCGTGTACCGGTAGAAAGATTTTCCACTACTTAGCTACGAAAATATATGGCAATGAAATAGGGATTAAGTAGAAAATGAGTGACTAAGTGGTAGAATTGGTAGCTAGAATTTCCCCACCACATCTTCTTCCAAATTTGGACCTTAAGCTCCATTTAAGTTATGCTTCTTTTGAGTATTGATCATGTACGAATTGGGTTCAAGCTTTCCCTAACCCCTTCTCATCAACAGAACCGGAAGAAATATTAGATATCCATGGACGACATCGAGGTATGGCATGGGTACATTAGATATCGAAACGATCGACTACCCTCCACTCTTTCTTTTTATCGGGACCATGTTAATTAACAAGCAAAATTGTGAAAAACTACAGTTTCAACACAATTTGCTAAGAAATTGAACGCCAAAAGGATCTTGTATGCAGTGATTGTGAGCGAAAGTGTCTTTGCTGGTTCAAACTATTGCACTGCCAAACTAGACAAGAAGCCTGGTTGGTCTTTATTAGACCGTTGGATGTTAGCGTACTATATACCAATCACTCATAAATCGTCGCAAAAAATTGTTCCTGTGGAGGGAGCAATGCACAGTAATGTGATAAGGACCGCACATCTAGAAATATTCAAAGGTGTATGTATATATTATATATACAGACGGTCCAACAAATTTTGTGGCATGACTATAAACAGTAGCAAACAAAAGGAGGATCGAGTGGTCAGTTTTGAGAAGAGAATCCAAAGCATCTGCCAACAATTTTGTCAGACGGATAGCGTGATCTTCAAATATCGTGCTTTTCCATGCTACGATTCTCGTTTCAACTACTAACGATTACATTAATCCTTTCTTTAAAACAAGGACATTATTGAGATCTCCCCCACGGATTTGATAAGCTTATTATAATAAACGTTTATCTCAAAGTTCGTATCTTATGTCATAACCCCAAAAGGAAAAGAAAAACAAAAAAGCTACGTAGCATGAAGTTACTGTAGAAGAATAAAGATTTCTAAAAAAACCTTCTGTGTGATGCCTTTTTTTTTTCTTACGTTTACAAGGCTATATGCACAAATATATATATAGAAGCGAACCAATCCTAATTAACCTACAAATCAGGGAATATACATAAAAAGAGTATAAACCAAGAAGAACTCTTCATATTTTAGCTCTAATAGATAACTCACGCTAACACTCCCCCTCAAGCGAGTGAGAAGATGTCTTTAATATCTTACGTTTACAAGGCTATATGCACAAATATATATATAGAAGCGAATCAATCCTAATTAACCTACAAATCAGGGAATACACATAGAAAGAGTATAAAACAAGAAGAACTCTTCATATTTTAGCTCTAATAGATAACTCACGCTAACACTCCCCCTCAAGCGAGTGAGAAGATGTCTTTAATATCTAGCTTGCCAAGTGAGCTGTGAAAAGCTTGACTCGACAAGGACTTCGTAAGAACATCCTCCAACTGATCTTTAGATCTGACAAAAGAAAACTTTATAACTTTATCATCCAAGTTCTGCTTGACAAAATGCCTATTGACCTCAACATGCTTAGTATAGTCATGTTGAACTGCATTGTAAGAAATTTCAATTGCGGCTTTATTATCACAAAATAGTCTCATCTCGGACTCAGGTGAGAAACAAAGTTCTGTCATCAACCTTTTTAGCCATAGTAGCTCGCATAGACCTTTAGCTACCCCTCGAAGTTCTGCTTTAGCACTTGACAAGGCTACAACGTTTTGCTTCTTACTCCTCCATGTTACCAAGTTTCCTCCCACAAATGTGAAATAGCTTGACGTAGACCTCCTATCAGAGATACTACCTGCCCAATCCGCATCCGTAAATCCCTCTACCTCAACTTCACAAAGAACAACCCTTTTCCTGGAGCTGACTTCAAGTAGCGCAGAATCCGAACCACAACATTTATATGTTCTTCACTCGGAGCATGCATAAATTGGCTCACAATCCCCACATCATATGCAATATCAGGACGAGTGTATGACAAATAAATCAGTCTCCCTACTAACATTCGGTATCTATCTTTATTGGTAGGCACTTGATCATGAAACTCTCCGAGTTTATGATTTTGAACTATAGGCGTGTCAGCAGGCTTACACTCCAACATTCCAACCTCAGCTAATAAATCTAACACATATTTTCGTTGAGATAAGAAAATACCTTCCTTCGACCTGGCTACTTCAATTCCCAAGAAATATTTCAGGCATCCCTAATTTTTCATCTCAAACTCTTTGGCTAGCTGCCCTTGAAGGTCTGCAATTTCTTCTAGATCATCCCATGTGATGATCATATCATCCACGTATATGATCAATGTTGTCACTTTGTCCTGTCTACGCTTCAAGAATAATGTATGATCAGAATTACTTTGATTGTATCCATACCTCTTCATCACTGAGCTAAATTGACCAAACCACGCGCAGGGTGATTGCTTTAACCCATATAATGACCGCTGGAGTTTGCACACCACATTTGACTGATCAGCACACGCATACCCAGGTGGGACTTCCATGTATATTTCTTCCTTTAGATCTCCATGAAGAAACGCATTCTTCACATCAAACTGATGCAAAGGTTAGTCCAGGTTCGCTGCAAGTGACATCAAAACCTGTATGGTATCCAGCTTTGCAATTGGAGAGAGTGTTTCTTGGTAGTCCACACCATAGGTTTGGGTATATCCCTTTACTACCAGCCATGCCTTGTACCTCTCAACCGACCCATTTGTTTTGTATTTGACTATGAAGACCCATTTGCACCCTATTGCCTTCTTCCCCTTCGGCAGCTCTACCAGTCTCTAGGTCTTATTTTCTGCAAAGCTTCCATCTCCTCTTTCATTGCCTGAACCCACTTGGGATCCCTCAAGGCTTCTTGTACTCCACTAGGAACATGAATTGCGGAGACATTGGCCACAAATGACTTAAAATGTTTTGACAATCTCCTTGTCGAAACATAATTGGTAATCGGGTACTTCGAACTTCGTTTCTCCACAACTGGTGAGTACCTATTAAGAGCCTTGCCTCGATTGTGTCAGTTGGGTAATTTATAACCAATAACCTCATCAGTATCAACTAGAGAATCATGTATGATAGAACTTACCTCAAGAGTATCCTTAGGAGAATGGTCGGGTACTAAAGAGGGGATATTTTGATGAAGAGAGGACTGTTGTTGAGGTTGTTCTTGTGTCTCTTGTACTAAAATACTCTGCTGGTCACATTCATTAAGAAGTTGTTGCTGGTTTTGATGTCCACTACCCGGATCCACAGCCGGACCTACTGTTCGTCCTACAAAATCATCTGACGTCGGTGCTGCTAGACCATGCTATTGTGAGTCACATGCACCGCTAGTCCCTGCCATCATGCTACCTTCCCACCAATTTACCCTTTCACCATGGATCTTCCCCTAAAAGGTACTATTGGTGGCAGGAAAGACGAGTTCAAATTCAACAAATGTGACGTCCATGGTCACATGAGTTTTCTTTGTGTCCGGATTGTAGCAGCGATAGCCCTTTTGGTAGGTTCCATAGCCAAGAAAAACACATTTGACAGCGCATGGGTCAAGCTTTGTTCGCTGATTCTTATGCAGGTGGACGTAGGCCACACACCCAAATACCTTAGGAGGTAAAGTTAAGACTGAGATAAGTGAGACATGCGTCGAAAGAGCCTGTAGCGGGGTCTAGAATGCCAACACACAGGAGGGCATGCGATTCATCAGATGCACAGTAGTAACTACTGCCTCATCCCAAAACCGATTCGGAACCTGCCCACCCACTAGGAGTGCCCTCGCCGTCTCCAGGATATGATGGTTTTTTCGTTCGGCAACACCATTTTGCTGGGGTGTCTAAGTGCAAGAGGTCTTGTGAATTAACCCATGGTCTTGAAAATAACCTATGAGGTGTTGGTTAATATATTCGCCGCCGTTGTCGCTGCGAACGACACGGATTTGAGCTCCAAATTGAGTCGTGACCATGCGGTGAAATACATGAAAGATTGTCCCTACTTCATCTTTATGTTTCATTAAATATAACCAGGTCATTCTGGTACAGTCATCCATAAAAGTTACAAACCAACGAACGCCAGGCATAGTAACAATTGGTGAAGCAACCCACACATCAGAATGTATTAATGAAAAAGAAGTTGGGCTCTTATTAAAACTCAATGGAAAAGAAGCACAATGGCTCTTCACCAAAATGCAAGTCTCACAGTGAAATTCAGAATCCGATAAACTACTGAATAAGTCTGGAAATAATTTCTTTAAATACCCAAAAGAAGGGTGTCTTAAACGACGGTGCCATAACCAAATTTCTTTCTCCTTAGCAGTAGACTAACTGTGGGTGTGGTATACTCGGCTTTTAGTGAAGTCATCAACAAAGTATAATCCCTCCCTCTTAGTACCATGTCCAATAATCTCCTTCGTGAGGATATCCTGAAATAAACGAAAGGAGGGATACATGAGTACGCTGCAATTCAATTCATCAGTGATTTGTCCCACAGAGAGCAATTGGTTAGATAAGGATGGCACTAACAAAGTGTGAGATAATGATAAAGATGGGGAAAGTTCAACACTGCCAGCCCCCAACACAGGAAAACTACAATCATTAGCATTATATATATTGTCTTCTCGGAGCGGTGTGACGCGGGAGATCATCAGGATGGGGTGTCATGTCATCAGTAGAGCCTAAATCAACAATCCACCCATCTTTACCTCCAGCCTGAGAAGTACTAACAAGCACAAACCCATTGTTAGGATCGAAATCAAGTGCAGCAGTGGAGTCTACTTGCTGCACCAAAGATAAGGACGAATCACCTGTGGTCAAGGAAGCATGTCCCCTGCCCGTCAGATTGTCAGCCTTCTTTTTAGCCTGTTATTCCTTCCACCACTCAGGATAGCCATGCAACTTGAAACAAGTCTCCTTCGTATGTCATGAATTCCCGCAATGAGTGCAACCCCCTGCTGCTAGCGGTTGCAACTTAGCTCTCGGACCAGTGCCAGAGCGCCCTCCCCCAAGCGTAGTAGAACCAGGAACCATTTGTAAAGTAGCATTTCCGAGGCCGAATTCTGGAAATTGCGAGCCTGTTTTCCTACCACGCGACACCATAGCGGCAGTGGTGGGAGACTGTGGGTGTGCCATCATAACAGCCTGGCGTCTTACTCGTGCATAGGCTTGTTCAACCGCAAGAAATGGTTGCATCTGCAATACATCAGCCCGGACCTTGTCGAGGCGATCATCCAGTCCATCCAAGAACAAGTAAACACGATCTTCCTGAACCAAGGTGTTGTATCTGTCAATATCCTGAGCGCAGGTCATGGGATTAGACCGGCAAAAATCAACTTCTCTCCAAAGTCCTTGAAGATCATTATAATACTTTTCAATGGGTCCGCCCGCCTACTTCAATCGGGTTAGGTGTCGCTTTAAACCGTGCACCTGGGAGACGTCAACTCCATCAAAGAATGTCGTAGCTACCGCATCCCAAACCGCTTTTGAGGTGGGGTATCGGATGAAGTTGCCAATCAGTGCGGGATCCATGGAATTGATAAGCCAACCCTTCACAATTGAGTCATCAGTCTTCCACTTCCGGAAGCCAGGATCATTCGGAGGAGGTTAGGGAAGAACCCCAGTAATATATCCCAACTTGTCTTTGCCAGAGATGTACATCTCGACAACTTGGGACCAAAGACAATAATTGCTTCCATCTAACTTGGCAGCAATCGAGGGAGCCGGAGTTTCAACATGAGATTGTGGGACATGATGTTGGGACAGTACCTGGATCAAACGCTCAATAAGAGCATCAGTATTCGAAGTTTCCCCTTGTGCTACCAGGGGAAGAACATCGTCGGTTGGGTTTTTGTTTGCCATAACATCGTCAGTTGGGTTTTTGTTTGCCATAGAGTTGTATAATGGCAAGAAACAAATGTGATGGTGGGATAAAATGACGCAGCAACCGCACGCTATTAGCACGGAATACGACAATCTACAATGATGTGGATGGAATTTGTTGGTGCGGCACCCATACTGATGCAGCACGGTTGCAGCAATCTTCAAGAAGTCTGGTTGGAGCAGCGACGAAGGTCGCGGCAATGGAGTCTGAGTGATCGGATCAAGTATAGAGTCCCTTGATCAGTGGCTCTGATACCATGTAGAAGAATAAAGAATTCTAAAAAACCTTCTGTGTGATTCCTTTTTTTCTTCTTACGTTTACAAGGCTATATGCGCGCGCGCGCGCACACACACACACACACACACACACACACACACACATATATATATATATATATATATATATATATATATATGTAGAAGCGAACCAACGCTAATTGACCTACAAATCAGGGGATATACAAAGAAAGAGTACAAAAAAAGAAGAACCCTTCTTTTTTTGGCTCTAATAGACAGCTCACGCTAATAGTTTATGACAAATAATTATAAGTTCTTATCATGTAGAGGTGATATAGAGCCTATTTAAATTAGCGCCCTCGCGATATAGCAAACCAGAGATTATACCTACCTACCTCTCTCTCTCGAGAGGCAAAAACAGGAAAAAAAGAATGCTGGCACTGCTTATCTTCGTGGCCACGATCCAAGGCTCGCTCGCCGGAATCCCCCACGAGATCCACATCCTCCAGCCGCAGTCGAGAGCCGCCAGCGAGCGTGTGCACGGCTTGTCTTGCCTGAGCTGGAGGTTGGGCGTGGAGACTAACAACATCAAGAACTGGGACACGGTCCCACGAGAGTGTGAAGGCAATGTGGGTCACTACATGCTGGGGCATCAGTATAGGGAGGACTCGAAGGTGGTGGCACGAGAGGCCGTGCTCTACGTGAGGAGCCTGAAGCTCGCTGGAGACGGCAAAGACGTGTGGGTGTTCGACATCGACGAGACCTCGCTCTCCAATCTCCCTTATTATGCGAAGCATGGATTCGGGTATGTCACAAATGCATTAAGCTTTCGTTTTCTTTGTTTCCTCCTTCATCTTATCAGTCCAAAAAGGAAAAGAAAGTGATTTCACAAGTCCTGTTGAAGACCAAAGCATGTGTGTATTTTTTCAAAGTTGAAACCGAATGGCCGAATAAATTTCTTCGAAGAAGTCGTGTTTGGTTGATTGGATCGGCGGTTTTTCGCTGTCGAAAGACGGTTATAGGGGTAAAAACTAAAAAGCACCATGGGATTACCATCTTAACTACAATTAGTCTATCTGAACTTACTTTGTATAGATTTTTAAAGCGAAGACTCTTTTCCCTCTATCCGCAAATAGATTATGTTTCAATGATAATGCGGGTTTCGTCGATTGCTCAGCCTTGTTCACGTGCCGGTATTGGGTACTTGGAATGAGTTCGTATATTACAATTGGCCGTCCTCAGGAATATGGTGGTCATTGAACAAAGGATATGTATCATCTATGTTCATCTCATGAGACACAGTCAAAGTATCGTAAAGAAAAGATGAAAGAGGAGATCCATATGGAGATAGATGGTAAATGCTTTATGTTTTAAGAAAGCATACTCTAGCAAAATAATGTGGTCGACATCTTGTCTTTTTAACCTTTCTTCCCCTTTAGATTCCGCGATGATATAGACGCAAAAATAAGTTGTTGGACCTACCCGAGTAGCAGAAGCTTCAAGAAGCCTAATAAATCAATGCAGAAAGGAGATTTTGCCAAAGTTGTGTCCTTTCTTGCGATCTTTGAAAATCAACGTGGAAGGCAAAATACATATGATATTGCTCTGTAGTTTGCTGTGATGTCACGAGTCACAATGACAAGTAAAGAATAAAATAAGAGAATGCATGCTCGTTCACTTCATATCTTGTCTTAACTGGTGCGTATATGTCTCGAAAGTTACGTTGGAGATTAATTTGAATGAGCCCTCACAAGAAACTGCGCCAAGATCGACGATGAATATGTTATGCAATTGATAATATGTTTTCTCTCTCGTTGAAGAAGCTCAATATCCAAGATGATTTGCCCTTCCCGGGTCGGAAACATAAGATTGATGATGTCGGATTTGTTGAAGCAAACGCGGAAAAGCAAACACAGAACACGAGGATTTACGTGGTTCGATCACAACGTGATCTACGTCCACGGGCGAGGCAAGACAAGATTCCACTATAATCAAAGAGAGTACAGTTTTCAGAAGTCGAAACAACGACAAAAGCTCACGGCTCATAAAACTCTCCGAAAACAAAATTCGCTCTGTATAACAATGAGAAAACCTAGCCGCGGTATAAATAGTGCTCCCAAAAAAAATTTCCTCAGGGGCGTAGCCCCCGAACCCCCGAAACATTGGTTCGTTGCTCCAGCTCGGGCGAACCGCCATAGAGATTTGTTCACTTGCTACGAGTTGGGCCTATCGGCCCAACTCTCCGCGTCGCGAACTAAATCTCAATTTTCGGGTCGCACAAAAATATGTCGGGTCGGGTGTTAAACCGGACCGAGAACATAAAATTCAAGACATATTTAACAGGATTAAAGCCGTAAACGGGCTGTCCTTGTCATTGCCTACATGATTTCCGGGACACTCTGAGAAAAGAGAGACAGCTTTCCCTATTCATGACAGGACATAAAGAACTAAAAGTAATCTTGTTCCATTTCTAGGGTCTTTTCTGTAGGAAAAAACTCTCCTTTTTCTATTCAATGAATATGTTTTCTGTACATTTACAATGTATATATAGGACATATGACAACCCTAATTAGGAGATATACAATAGGAAGGATTCTATACTAGGAAGAAATCTATACAATAAAAAAGCCTAACAAATAGGCTAAAATAGCTCACGACCACACTCCCCCTCAAGTAGGTGCAAAGATGTCTTTGATACCCAACTTGATAAGTGAGCAATGAAATTCTCTACTTGACAGAGCCTTTGTCAATATATCAGCTAACTGGTCTTCAGACTTGACAAATGGTAACTGGATCACTTTTGCCTCCAAATTCTCTTTGATGAAATGTCTGTCAATCTCCACATGTTTGGTTCTATCATGCTGAACTGGATTATGAGCAATATTTATGGCTGCTTTATTATCACAAAACAATTTGATTTCCAAACCTGGTGGATACCCAAGCTCAGTTAGCAGCTTTCGAAGCCATAGAAGTTCGCATAACCCCTTTGCTACACCTCTGAATTCAGCTTCTGCACTAGACCGAGCTACAACATTTTGTTTCTTACTTCTCCATGTAACAAGGTTGCCTCCCACAAATGTAAGATACCCTGATGTAGACCTCCTGTCTGTCACACTTCCAGCCCAATCTGCATCTGTGTAACCTTCTATTTCAAGGTGGCCATTCTTTGCAAATAGCAACCCCTTTCCTGGGGCTGACTTCAAATATCGAATGATGCGCCACACAGCACTCATATGATCCTCACTAGGTGCATGCATGAACTGACTCACCACACTTACTGCATGAGCAATATCAGGACGTGTATGTGATAAGTAAATCAATCGACCTACTAACCTTTGGTATTTCTCTTTATTAGTAGGCGTCTGATCAGGGTACTCTCCAAGCTTACAGTTTTGTACCATAGGAGTGTCTGCAGGCTTGCAATCTAGCATGCCAACTTCGGTCAAAAGATCAAGAACATACTTCCGCTGAGACAAGTAAATCCCTTCCTTCGACCTAGCAACCTCGATTCCCAGGAAATATTTCAAACCTCCCAAGTTCTTCATCTCAAACTCGCTTGATAATAATCCCTGCAGTCTCATAATCTCTGCACTATCATTGCCTGTAATAATCATGTCGTCTACATATATGATAAGAGCTGTCATTCTTCCTTGAGCACCTTTTAAGAACAAAGTATGATCTGAGTTACTTTGGGAGTATCCATACCCTTTCATAGCTGAGCTAAAGCGACCAAACCATGCACGAGGGGACTGCTTCAACCCATACAATGATCTTTCCAGCTTACAGACCATGTTCGGCTTATCTGCGCATCTGTATCCAGGTGGAAGCTCCATATAGATCTCCTCCTCTAAATGTCCATGAAGAAATGCATTCTTCACATCAAATTGATGCAAAGGCCAGATTTGCCACATATCTATCTCTGATTTGCCACATAGAAGTTGTGCTTTGGTGGGTATTGTAATTCGTTTTCATGGATAAAGTAACCGGTTTAATCACTGAATATGCAGAGTGGAGCCCTACAATGCAACGTCGTTTAATCAGTGGGTCCTGAAAGGCAAAGCACCAGCGCTCCCAGAGACGCTGAAGCTGTACCACGAAGTGTTGAAACTGGGGATCAAGCCCATCTTCCTCACCGGAAGAAGCGAGGACCAGAGGAAGATCACTTCCTCCAATCTCAGGAATGCCGGGTTTCACAAGTGGGAGATGCTCATCTTGAAGTAAGCACACACCTTCCAACTTCTTATCCACCCAAAACACAACGAAAGAGCAAGAAAACTCTACAAAATCATCGTTCAATCTCAACACTTGACGTGATTAATTAAGTCTTAGCATCTGCACTTCATCCATCGAAGCATCCCATCTCTCAAAACAAAGCACACAACCTCATGCCTTACGGCATTCACCAGTCATTCCGTATCGAAACCGCATTCACCGGTCATTCGGGTTGCAGGGGATCGGATTACTCGGAGACAACGGCGGTGGTGTACAAATCAAACGAGAGGAGGAAGGTGGAAGAGAGCGGGTACAGAATCATTGGCAACATCGGAGACCAATGGAGCGACGTGCTCGGAACCCATGCTGGCAACCGGACCTTCAAGTTGCCCGACCCCTTGTATTACATTAGTTGATCACTTTCCATCTGATTCTCTTCGTTGATCAAGGGCCCATTTTAACTAATAAATCTCTTGAGATGAGCGGGAATATGCATTAAACTTGTCAAAATTGGTCATACATCCATTTTTTAATTAATATTTTATGGCTGAGTTGTCATATGGATTATTTATATTCAATAAATAAATTACAAATGGGTTTAGAATAGCAAAACTCAAAATAATATGCGTGTTAAATAGATTCACAACTTACCCAGCTCACCTTTATGGCTCTCTCTTTACTCTCTCTCGCCCGCACTAAATCTCTCGCTCGCTCAGTTTGCGCTCTCACCTTAGTTTGGATATGAGTTTTCCAAAATTTGATTAAATATGGAAGCGTTTTAGTAATATGGTTCGGAAATGTGTTGGGTTGAGTATGGGTCACTAGATTTGTATTGCATAAAAATTCGCCACTTTGGGTCAGACCATTTTCAATCCAAGCCAACCCACCCGTTTGACGAATCTAATATGCATTGATTAGATGTACCTAAAAGCAATAAAAAAAAACTTTTGATAGCAAAAGTTGATTAGCCTTAATCGATTTTATTAATAGAAACGTTCAAACATTTACAGGTTATATTTGCTTCAATTTACTCACCCACCCAATAGAAAAATTTGGGTTGTGTCCCTACTTAATAAGCAATCAAGTTATATTATATATTTTTCAATTTATTGACTCATTTCGTGTTATGTATGACTATGATGGTGGAAGTAATACCAGGTAACATCGCATTATATTATATTGAACAAAGCTCATTAAATACTTTGGAGTCACTTATTCCACGAGATAACAAATAGTCGGAATTACGGATTACAAATATGTTGATATTCATTTTCCATTACGGAAAAGTTGCTGGTCACCTCGAAAAACCATTTACGAGAGATATTTATAGGGACAAGTGCACTACAAGTCCTAAAACTTGTCACAAAAGTGCATTTGAGTCCTAAAACTTGCAAAAAGTTCATTTGAGTCCTAAAACTTGTCAAAATAGTTCATTTGAGTCCTAAAGTTAACACCGTTAGGTTTACTAACGGAAAATGCTGACGTGGCGCTGACGTGTCATTTTTAATTATTTTTCTTGAGACACGTGGCGCCACGTCAGCAAAAATAAAAATAAAAATAGAAAAAGCTGAAAAAAAACCAAAAAAAGGAAAAAAAAAAAAAAAAAGAACCGGCGGTGGCTGCCGCCACAGCCACCGGGAAGGACCGGCGGAGGTCGCCTGGGCCTTCCCGAAGCCCGGCGACCCTCGCCGACCCCGGGCGAGTCCCCTGCGAGGGCTGGCGACCCTCGCTCAGATCTGGGGCAACCTTCTCTCTCTCTAGTTTCTTTCTATATCAGCGACAATTTTATGCACCGCACGGAGATTACGTGTGTGTAGAGACTTGCCATTTTGAGTTGGCGCATACCTCGCTTCAATAAGATTATATCTCTACGTCGTTCTCAAATTTCCACTTTGTACGCATCATAATTAGCTCCATGGATCGCCCAAGATCTGAGCGAGGGTCGCCAGCCCTCGCAGGGGACTCGCCCGGGGTTGGCGAGGGTCACCGGGCTTCGGGAAGGCCCAGGCGACCTCCGCCGGTCCTTCCCGGTGGCTGTGGCGGCGGCCACTGGCGGTGGCCGCCGGGCTTGGCCACCGCCGGTTCTTTTTTTGTTTTTTTCTTTTTTTGGTTTTTTTTTGTTTTTTCAGCTTTTTCTATTTTTATTTTTATTTTTGCTAACGTGGCGCCACGTGTCTCAAGAAAAATAATTAAAAATGACACGTCAGCGCCACGTCAGCATTTTCCGTTAGTAAATCTAACGGTGTTAACTTTAGGACTCAAATAAACCATTTTGACAAGTTTTAGGACTCAAATGAACTTTTTGCAAGTTTTAGGACTCAAACGCACTTTTGTGACAAGTTTTAGGACTTGTAGTGCACTTATCCCATATTTATATATATGAAAGCTCACTACTGCATGAGTATGTTACCACATATAAATTCTTGATTTTGTACGTGAAAAAACGTGAATAGTAATTTTTCTACGTGCTTAACATTTGAAAAACATTTTCTAAAAAAATGAACAATTTGAAAATATTTTTTAGAAAATGATCGTTTGTATCGCTTGAAATAATTAGTCGATTGAAAATGTTTTATTTTCGACAACAATTTATGTTAATGGAAGCCCACATCTCCGTTGTACTCGGCAAGAGTCTAACGTGAAAGAAAAAGAGTATATTTTCCATTATGAACTATCAAGAAATTTAGGAGACTGACTCTGAAAATGAAGACCATGGCCAGATTTTGAGCAATGATATCTGTCTACACGAAAATTTGCGTTCTGCTTTTTGCCTCAAAACTATTGCATGCTTCAACAAACATGTCGGCTCTAATTAACCATGTTCGGAACTAGAGAGATTTGATCGGAAAAGTTATCCAAAATAGGAGCATGATCGAGCCGAGTCGATACACTATCAAGTTCAAGCTCGACTTGCGTAGGCGACACGGAAACTCGATTCCATCTCGATCGAGTGTGAAAACCTATGCTCGAATAATCAAATAGTATAGGTAAAAATATCGGTATTTCATTGATTTAAAAGTAAAAGTTCATACTGATTTTTATTTATATTTATTTTTTATTTTTTTTAATTATTTATATATTTGTTTCCCTATAAAATTTAAAAAAATATTTCTTATTTTTTTTTTCTTATCAAATAAAATAGTAATAGAAAATATTTATCGGGGGTAGGTCTTATATAAATTAAACGGGCCAACCAGGAATTTTAGGAATAAGATCTTTTAGATCTCTTTCCTTTTTGTTTTAACAATTCCCTAATATCATATAGAGGCGATGTGTAGAGCCAATTCAAAGAAGCGCCCTCGCGGTATCGCAAACCAGAGATCAAACGGCAAATACAGGAAAAAGAGAATGTGGGCACTCCTCATCTTTGTGGCCACCATCCAAGGCTCCCTCGCCGGAATCCCCCACGAGATCCACGTCCTCCGGCCGCAGTCTGGAGCCGCCGGTGAGAGCGTGCACGGCTTGTCTTGCCTGAGCTGGAGGTTGGGCGTGGAGACTAACAACGTCAAGAATTGGAAAACGGTGCCGCGGGAGTGCGAAGGCTATGTGGGTCACTACATGCTGGGGCATCAGTATAGGGCGGACTCGAAGGTGGTGGCGCGCGAGGCCGTGCTCTACGCGAGGAGCCTGAAGCTCGCCGGAGACGGCAAGGACGTGTGGGTGTTCGACGTCGACGAGACCTCGCTCTCCAATCTCCTTTATTACGCGAAGCATGGATTCGGGTATGTCGCAAATGCAGTAAGCTTTCGTTTTCTTTGTTTCCTCTTTCATTTTAAAGGTCCTAAAAGCATAAGAAAGTGATCTCAAAATTCGTGTTAAAGACCAAAGCATGTGTTCATTTTGGCAAGATCGAAACCGAGTGGCTGAATGAATTTCTTCAAAGATGTCGTGTTTGGTCAATTGGATCGCCGTCTGTTATAGGGGTAAAAACTAAAAAGCACCCAGTGATTACCATCTTGACTACAATTAGTCTATCTGAACTTACTTAGTATAGATTTTTACAGCGAAGACTCTTTTCTCTCAATCTGCAAAAAGATTATGTTTCAATGATAACGTGGGTTTCGCCGATTGCTCGGTCTTGTTCACGTGCCGGTATCGGGTACTTGGAATGAGTTCGTATATTACAATTGGCCGTCCTCAGGAATATGGTGGTCGTTGAACAAACGATATGCATCATCTATGTTCATCTCATGAGATTCAGTCAAAGCATATAGTAAAGAAAAGATAAAGAGGAGATCCATATGGAGATAGATGGTAAATGCTTTATGTTTTTAGAAAGCATACTCTTGCGAAATTATGTGGTCGACGTCTTATCTTTTTAACCTTTTTCCCCTTTGGATTCCGCGATGATTGAGATGCAAATGAGTTGTTGGACCTACCCCGAGTAGCAGAAAGGAGATTTTGCCAAAGTTCAGTCCTTTCTTGCGATCTTGAAAATGAACGTGGAAGGCAAAATACATACGACATTGCTCTGTAGTTTGTCTGTGATGTCACAAGTCACAACGACAAGCAAAGAATAAAATAAGAAAATCCATGCTCGTTCACTTCATATCTTGTCTTTACTGATGTATGTATGTCTCGAAAATTATGTTGGAGATTTATTTGAACGAGCTCTCATTAGAAACTGCACGATGACATGCATGTGATAATATGGTTTTTACTCTCGTTGAAGAAGCTCAATGTCCAAGTTGATAGATTGATGATGTCGGATTAAAGCTGTAAACCGGCTGTCCTTGTCATTGCCCACATGATTTCCGGGACACTCTGAGCAAAGAGAGACAGCTTTCACTGTTCATGACAGGACATAAAGAACTAAAAGTAATCTTGTTCCATTTCTAGTGTCTTTTCTTCCAAGCCTGATATGGTTGAACGCAGAGAAACGCAATCATATCTATCTCTGATTTGCCGCATAGAAGTTGCTGTGCTTTGGTGGGTATTGTAATTCCTTTTCATATATAAAATAACCGGTTTAATCACTGAATATGCAGAGTGGAGCCCTACAATGCAACGTCGTTTAAACAGTGGGTCCTGAAAGGCAAAGCACCAGCGCTCCCAGAGACGCTGAAGCTGTACCAGGAAGTGTTGAAACTGGGGATCCAGCCCATCTTCCTCACCGGAAGAAGCGAGGACCAGAGGAAGATCACTTCCTCCAATCTCAGGAATGCCGGGTTTCACAAGTGGGAGATGCTCATCTTGAAGTAAGCACACACCTTCCAACTTCTTATCCACCCAAAACACAACGAAAAAGCAAGAAAACCATACAAAATCATCGTTCAATCTCTACACTTAACATGATTGATTAGGTCTTAGCATCTATGCTTCATCCATGGAAGCATCCCATCCCTCGAAACAAAGCATACAAGCTCATGCCTTACTGCATTCGCTAGTCATTCCGTAATCAGAACCGCATTCGCCGGTCATTCGGGTTGCAGGGGATCGGCTTACTCGGGGACAAAAGCGCTTGTGTACAAATCAAACGAGAGGAGGAAGGTGGAAGAGAGCGGGTACAGAATTATCGGCAACATCGGAGACCAATGGAGCGACGTGCTAGGAACCCATGCCGGCAACCGGACCTTCAAGTTGCCTGATCCCTTGTATTACATTAGCTGATCACTTTCCATCTGTTTCTCTTCATTGATCGGGGCCCATTCAGGTTCATGGTCATGTCACTACCAATAAATCTCTCGAGACGTATGGGGGTGTGCATTAGACCTTTCAAAATGGATCATACGCTTATTTCTGAAGCCGTATCTGATGGGTTGAGTTATTATATGAATTAGTTATATTCAGTAAATATATCATAAATAGATTTAGAATGGTAAAATAAAAAATAATATGAATATTAAATGGATTCACAACTTACTTAGACTTATCGTTCTATCTCTCTCTTGCCCTTGATTGATCTCGCGCTTGCTCGCTCCGAGCTCTCATCTCAATTTAGGTATGAATTTTCTTAGATTTGGTTAATTACGGAAGTGTTTTAGCAATATAGTTCAGGTTGGATATGTGTCGGGTCATGTGTATACCACTAAGTTTGTTTTGCATAAAAATGGGTCAATTTGGGTCGGATCGTTTTCGACCTGACCCACCCGCTTGACGGGTCTAGTATGCATTGATAAGATGTACCTAAACATCTCTTATCATTTAGACATTTAAATCTCAAGTAATAACAATAAACTTTTGATAGGGAAAGTTGATTAACCTTGATCGGTTTCATTTAATAGAAACGTTCTAACATGTACAGATTATATTTGATTTATTTTATTCACCCGCCGGATTAAAAAAAATCAGGTTACTTCCCTACTTCTTAAGCAAGTAATCAAGTTAAATTATATCATTTTTCAGTATATCGACACATTTCGTGTTATGTATGACTATGATGGTGGAAGTTATACCAGTAACATCGCATAATATTATATAGAACAATGCTCATTAAAAACTTTGGAGACACTTATTTTGTGTTATAATAAATACTCGGAATTACAGATTACAATTATATCGATATTCACTTTCCATTACGGAAAAGTTTCTGATCACCTCTAAAGACCATTTACGAGAGATATCCGAAAATTCGCTACTACATGAATAAGTTACCACATATAAATTCTTGCTTTTGTATGTGAAAAAGATGCGAATAGTAATTTTTCTACGTGCGTAACAATTTTCCATAACGAAAAGGTAATTTTCTACATCCCGTAGATAATTCCTTTCTTATGAAAAGACACTGATCAACTTGGAAAATCACACGTGTTAATCGGCAAAACAAATTTTCAAGTTTTTTTTTTTCTAATCTGATCCAAGGATTCATATTCTCTCCATTATAAATTTAATAAATCACAATGGCCAGCGATCCATCTCCCAACAACTAAAGAGTAAAAGATGCATAGTTTTATAGATCAGTAAAAGATGCATAGTTTTAAAGATGCATAACCATAAGTAAGATGTTTTTTTTTTTTTGGGTAAGGACCATAAGTAAGATGTTTTTTTTGGTAAGGAGGGGAAGATCATAAGTAAGATGTTGGTATCTATAAAATTCGATATTTCTTTTAGGTGAAAATCTATATTTTTTTACTTGTCTATTTATTTCCCCATCCATTCGTGAGACTTTTAGGCTCCGTTTGTTTCGCGAAAAATGAACGATTTGAAAAATGTTTTCCTAATGATCGCCTGTATCGCTTGAAACAATTAGTCAATTGAATTTTTTTTTATTTTCGATAATAATTTATGTCTAAACATTTTCAAGAATGATAAAAACTTTTTTATATTTATTCATTTTTGTAAGCGGTCATTTTTAGGAAAAAAAAATTCATATTGTTCATTTTTCACGAAACAAACGGAACCTTAATTTGTTTAATTAGCCATTAAAGTTATATAACTCTTTAAATCAAGTCTTTTTGCGGCACTAATTTCTGTCAATGGGAGCCTACGTCTCGATTGTACTTAAGGGTGAGCAATAGGACCTAGCCGGAGCAGGAATCACCCGAATCGGACCAAACCAACCAATTTTGAGCGGTTCCAAGGATGGAACCACCCACCTGAACCGCCAGGACTGGACTGACTATTTTTTTTATTTTTTTATTTCTTAAAAATAATTAAAGAAATCCTAATCACAAAACACTCGCTCTTTCCCCATTCCCTCTCACACTCACTCTTTCCTTCCACGCCTCTCATGCTTGCTCTTTCCCTCTCGGCTTCCACGCCTCTTTCACAATCACAAACCCTAATCGCTCTTTCCCTCTCATGTCTCTCTCGCTCGACTATCACCCACGACTCATGGTTCTCTCAATCACTCTCTCGCTCAACTCTCAGACAACGCCACCCTCTCTCGCCTAAGTTGCGTCCCTCTCGCTTGAGCTCAACGCCTCCTCTTGCGGTTTAATCTCTAGTCTCGACAGTTGCCTCCCTCTCTTGCTCCGTTTTTTCGCATCTAATATCCAATGCTCTGTTTTTTGCTCTTTTTCATACAAAATGCAAATTATAGGCTAACAGGTTGTGTGATTGCGTGATTTTGCAGTTTAGGATTTTGCTTATAGTGGTGGAAGTGTTCATGGTTTTCAAAACTTGTGAGGTTACGTGATTCCATTGGACCACCAGGGAACGGTCCGGTCCGGTCCAATTCCAGGACCAAGTGGTCTAATTCCCGATTCCATAAATTGGTAATTGGTCTCTATAGTCCGATTCCTGATTTTTTGGTAGGAACTAAACCGCCCGGAAATCAATCACCCCTAGTTGTACTCGGCAAGAGTCTAACGTGAAAAAAAAAAAAAGAGCATATATTTTCCACTATGGACTATCAAAAAATTTAGGAGACTAACTCCGAAAATGAAGACCACAACCAGATTTTGAGAAATGATATCTCTCAACACGAAAGTTGCATTTGGCTTTTTGGATCAAAACTTTTGCATGCTTCAACGAACATGTATGCTCTAATCAACCATATTCGGAACTAGAGAGATTCGATCATAAATATTATCCAAAATGGGAGTGTAATCTAGCCAAGTCGATACACTATCAAGTTCGAGCTCGACTTGCATAGGCGACATAGAAACTCGATTCAATCTCAATCGAGTGTGAAAATTCATGCACGAGCTCTACTCAACTATAAAATCGAGATACTCGTACTTGGCTCAACTCGGCTCGAGTACAATTAATTTATCAAGGAACTCGAGCTCGAGCTCGACCCCGATCTTTTCAACGCTTGAATAATGTGAATATGTTATGTAATCTTAAGGGCATTTGTGCCTATTTTGACTAATCTAGAGTGTATTTTTTAAAGAAAACAACGGAAACTCAATCACGCACGCGAGCCTATCAAGTTAAGAACCGGCGAGCTCAAACTCGACCCGACAAGATATCCGAACAGATCAAAGCTCGAGTTCGGCTCGAAATCAATCGAGTCGATCTCGAGTAATTATCTGAATCGAGATCGAGCTCCAGCTGTTCGCGAGTGTACGGTGGACGGCTGTAATCTCCTCAATTCACAGCCACACCGAATCACGAGATCGCGTCCCCACGTGGACGGCTGTAATCTCATCACACGGTGCACGGTAACTGCGGCGCACGCGCACCGCAGACGATACGTCCTCGCCCGCTATATAAGCCTCGCTCTTTCGAAACCCGAGAGGAAAGCGAAAGCCGAACCAGATAGAGAGAGAGAGAGAGAGAGGGGGGCGAAAATGTCGTGGCAAGCGTACGTGGATGATCACCTGATGTGCGACGTCGACGGCCACCACCTCGCCGCCGCCGCCATCGTCGGCCACGACGGCAGCGTGTGGGCGCAGAGCTCCGCATTCCCTCAGGTCGTTCTCAAATCTATGCCTTCCGCCGTCGCGGTTTCCGGCTCGGATCGCGATCGCCATTTCGCCCGCGAAGTATTTGATCGATCGATCTGCGTTTGATCCGTCTGTTGGTCATGATTGCATGAGTGGCGAGATCTTAGATGCGTTCGTCGCCGCCCGATCTCGTGTTGACGATGCCGTCGGATCGGATCGATCTCTCGTTCGGTTGATTTGAATGGATGGATCGTCGTGCGTACTTGTCGTTTTCGTCTAAGATCGATCTCGATGATTCTTGACGTTCTGCATTACGACGTCATTGGATGATTCGATGCTTGTTGCGCTCCCGTTTTTGCTGGGGTCATCGGAAGAGGAGCAGGGATGAGTCCGATTGCATGATCATTTCGCTTCTTTATCGTATCAATTTGATTTGACGGAATAGTGTTTAGCCGGAGCTAAATTTCTCTGTCGATATGCGGCGGCGGAAACGGGCTTTGTGTTCGAGTCGCCTTCTTGATAATGTGACTGAAATGTGTACTTTCTCTGCATCGTGATGAGATGATGATGTCGCGGCATCCCTTTGTTCTTCTTGTCTCCAGTTTAAGCCGGAAGAGATCGCCGCCATCCTGAAAGATTTCGATGAGCCTGGCTCGCTTGCTCCGACCGGGCTACACCTTGGTGGCGTGAAATACATGGTTATCCAGGGAGAGCCTGGAGCTGTTATTCGTGGAAAGAAGGTATGCGGGTCTTCTTCTTCTGTTCATGAAACAGTAGGAGGATTTGACAATGCAAGTAGTGTTTGTCTGGAAATGAATGTAATTGAACGAAATGAATTCGTCGTCCCATAACTTGCTATTGGATAAGGGGCCATCGTGCCTATGATTGATTCCGCAGGGTACTTCGAACTCTGTTCCACTTATAAATCATTCCTTCATTGTGCTGGACAATTCATACATCATCTCGAGTGCATTTCGACGACCCATTGTTGCCTGACTTTAAGTTAAAGTGGATATGGGAGACGAAGTACATTTTCAGAACTAGTATGTGTCCCCGTCTGACGGATTCATGAGCTTAAAGCTTAAGACTTGAACGGCCCTCTTCTATCAGTCATATTAATCCAACTTTAGGTCCGAATCACTTAGACTTCTGTGTCCTCGAGTCGAGCAGTACTACAGCTGTTGAAGCTGATTACTACAGAATTGTCAAGCGTGCTATTGTTTCCACTGATTTGCAGGGTCCTGGTGGCGTTACCGTGAAAAAGACCGGCCAATCCTTGATCTTTGGCATTTACGAGGAACCTTTGACGCCGGGGCAGTGCAACATGATTGTCGAGAGGATGGGAGATTACCTGATCGATCAGGGCCTGTAAATCTCTGCGCTGAAGCTTTATACCTCTTTACAGATTTTGACTCGACTTCGAGGCTTGCGTCTTCTTCCTTGCTCAGCTGAGACAGGGAGCAAGAGTCAATTGGAATAACCATGTCAGGACTAGAACAGTCTTTCATGTTCAAGTCGTCCATGCATTTTTCTTTATCTATATGTATATCAAGTTGATCAATTCTTATAATCATGGCCCAAGTTTGGTTTTTTCTAAATGATTCTGAGAATCAATACTATGATGTGATGTGATTTGAACAGAAACTTTGTCCAGTGCTTCTGAAATAATGCCTTTCCAGCTCGTATATGATTAGCTGACTTGCTCATGGCGACGGCGGTAGACATTCACAAAACCTCAGGTCGAGCTCGAATTTGCATTGTTCTGAGGGCAATCTAGAGAGCTTTTTGTTCACCAAGGTGGTGGCGGAGTTTTCTGAGCAGATTCACCCCCCTCGGATTACACCATTACAATTCTTCTTCACAAACTCCCTTACAGAAAAAACAATGGGAATTGCTTCATTTGTTCAACAAATCCAGTCGCGCTGAATGAATCTCCACCGAAGAGATTGTTTTCCCCGTTTCCCGTGCTCGGGAACTAGCTTGAACTCATCAGATGTCGCCGAATTCGCTTTGATCGGTCGCGAATTCGGCTGGATCGCCTCACTGGAGTGGCAATACTGATCCAAGCTTCTCCGGTTCCATCCTCCTGCGCGGAAGGCAATTGAGCTACTTACTCGTCACGGTTGCCAAATGACACAACTGACGGTATATTTTAACTAAAGAGTATGACGCCACTATTTCTTACCCTTTTTGTCGATATCATCTCAGTAGTAGTAAAGCTTCCGAGCGAAGGACAACTCTCGAGAGAAGAAGAAGGGATCGAATCAGATGCGAAGTGATCCTCTCTTCCTGGCTTCTCTGCGAATTCACGGGGACACTTGATCGGCGGCGCTATGAAAGAATGTCCTGTGGCTGGAGACGAATCATTACCGAGTTTTTTCTTCCTCCTCGAGTGCAACACAAGCAGCACAAATGCAAGAACTGCTGCGGCAGAACTATAAAGAACAGCATTCGTCACTGATTCAATCCCTACGAGCGCTGAAGTAACTTCACCAAATTCACGAGTCTCTTCTAGCAGCAAATCTTCAGTATCGCTTCCAACTTCCGGCTCGGCAATTCCACTCCCCTGAGGCTCTAAGCTCTTCTTAATCCAATAAAAGTTGCTCTCAACGCCTCCATTTTCTTGTTCGCAGACATCATCATTTTTCTCGACTCTTGTCTCCGCCACCTTGGAAGATTCTTCGGGTTCAACTTCGACCCTCTTCCAAACCTCACCAGTCTCACCTAGCTCATCGTAACGATAATTCTCTCGCAACATACCCTTCATCACCTCAATCCACTCCGCGGCATCCCCTATATCTTCTGAGGATGAGTCGACGTCGGTTTGAGTGGCATTCCTTCCGCTGTCAAAAAATTCAACTATCTTCTCAGAAGCCTCCTCATGTGTAAAACTCAAATTTCCGTACCTTCCTTCAATGTCCCGAACTTCATCTGAAGGAGAAGAAATGCTCTTATTGGAGACGTCAATTTCATCAAATTCAACCATCTTCTCAGAAACAACTTCGTATGTATAACTAGAACTTTTGTGCCAATCTTCGAAATTCTGTGGTAGAGATGTAATCCGCGTATTACAGATACACACCATGAACAGCACCAAAACAAGAAGCAAAAGCAGCAATTCGCATAACCATCTCAAACTGAAAATCTGCGGCAACTCCACTTCATTACTTGCTCCGTCAGAGTCAGAACCCTCCTGCCCTTGCTTCGCTGAATCCTCACTGACGGAGCCTTCCAAATCAGAACCGATACTTGCACCGCCAAAAACATCATTCGCTTCCTCCAGTCGACGAAGGATCTCATGAAACCGTTCCGGGTCGTAGCAGAGGAACTTGGGCCGCGGCGAAAGGTAATTGGTGAAAGGATCATAAGGGCTCGAGATCGGTATTCCTACACTCGGAGAATCGGGCTCAGATTCACGGGGCGATGAACAAGATTGATCTGGGTATCGAGACTTCAGCCTCATTGCTCGGCCGACTCTATCTAATCGGTTTCTTGTCACGTTTTCGAATCTTCTCTTCCGTTCAGCAAATATCTCCTCCGCCAAGAGAAGAAAAAGGGCGATTCACGGAGTTTCGGAAGCGTCAGCGATCGAGGTTTTTGAGATTGTTGATGAGGAGGAATCGGGTTTTACAGAAAATGGGTGTGCGATATCTTGAACTCTTTTGTCGCTTGTGTTTTTCATGGCGGTTAACACAAACATTCAAAGAAGGTGAAGATTTGCATTTTTGACCGTTACTTTCGGACCCGGAGACCGCCCGAATCCGAGTGCTTTTCGAAAATCAAGCCCGACCCGACCCGACCCAAGCAAAATTCTGGCAAAAAGAAAATGAAAAGGAGAGAAATGGCCCATGCAGGTCTCGAACCTGCGACCTTCGCGTTATTAGCACGACGCTCTAACCAACTGAGCTAATAGGCCAATTGCTGCTTTATGTGTAATATATAATTATAAATAAATTACATATCTTCCCAAAGGATAATTAAAAGAATTTCAACTCTTGAGACCAACAATTTGATAGTCGGACCATTGAGCTGGAGACCAAGAAATGGTGCGATTCTTAAAATTGAAATTAAATAAATGAAGAAAGGGTTTTATGGTTCTTGATATGTTTGAGAAGGAAATTAAAACGACGAAATTTTGGCTCCAAAAAAGAAATGTTTTAGTTTCATGCACCCCAAAACTATAGGTAGTTTAGCATTCGGAAGTAGCATTCACCTCCCTTTAAACTCATGCTTTAGGCTTTTAGCAGGATAAGAACACCACAAGTGTCATAACTTTCGCTCGCTTGAGTGCCACATCTTTTAAAAATTGTTCACTTGAGTACTATTGACAATATGTTTCCCCTGAAAATTTAACGTGGCATTAATTTAGTATATAAGATCCAATGTGGCTCGCCGACGAGATAATCAACAAGCGAGAAGTTAAAACAACTCGTTTAGAGATGTATTTGAAGAATCCTAAGTTCCTAACCCAATTTAAAGAAATTGGGGCAAAATTTTGCCAAAATTCAAAAAGTTGGTGAAGAACCCTATTGGGGCAAAATTCCGTCAAAGGCAAAATTGGGGTTCTCAGAGCAAGCGAAGGAAAGAGAGAGGGTTTGTGCCATCCGTTGGTGAAGAACCCTTAACTCAAAACGAGATTCTCTCACTCGCTCTATCAAGAGTTGCCATCGCCATTTCTTGGGAAAAAGTGTCAGAAAAGTCCTAAACATTTTAACCTAGAGCCAATTCTATCCTTTCGACTAATTTTGGCCAGATAATGCTGACGTGGACGCCAGCCAGCTTACATGACACAACAGGCGCTGACGTGGATAACTTTTAATAATTTTTAAAAAAAATTTAATAATATTTTAAAAAAATTTCGAATTTTTTTATTTTATTTTTTTTTATTTTTCATGTTTTCTTTCTTTTTCTTTTTTTTTTTCCTTCCCTTCCTTCTTCCTTCAACCAGTCGCTGGACCTCAGAGACCAGCCAGAGGCGATGGCTGGCCTCAAACGAGCCTCACTAGCCATTGGCTAGGCTCGCCTTCATTGGCCCTCGCGTCTGGCCGTTCACTCAAGCGAGGCCAACCCTTGCCGGTCATGGCCGTGCCAGCCACCGGAGGAAAGAGGAGGAAAAAAAAGAAAAAAATCGAAAATTATTAAAATATTATTTAAAATGTCCACGCCAGTGCCGGCCGTATCACGTAGGCCCGCTGGCGTCCACGTCAACAATATCCGGTCAAAATTAACTGGAATGACTGAATTGGTTCTAGGTCAAAAGGTTTAGGATGACTAAATTAGCACTAATGTAATAGGTTTAAAACTTTTCCGACAATTTTCTCCCATTTCTTTTATCGTCCAGGAGCGATTGTTAGGAACTCTGAGCAGGCGTTGGGATAGAGAAGCGAGAATGACAATGGACAACAGAGGAGAGGAGGAGCGGTGTAATTGTCTTCGAAGTTGCCTGACTATGCTTCCAAGCCGAAGTAAGAGAAGACAGAGCGAGAGTGAACAAGAAAGCGAGAGAGAGATAGAAAGCTTCGTAAGTTTTCTTTATGGAGAGGACGAAGTGAGAGAGAGAGAAAGTTAGTCTTCCCAAAAAATGTGGTCGTTTTGTTAGCTCTTGCCGCGTCGAATGAAGAATTTTCCACATTGCACTTCAATTTCTTTTAAAAAGCCAAGTCGGATTCAAACCATAATTTTAAAAACCACCTAGGCTGAATTGCCAAAATAGGCACTCAAGTGAACAAGTTTACACCTATGTGTCATTCAAGTGAGCCAAAAAAAAACTATGGTACTCAAGCAAGCGTCGTATGAAACTCAAGCGAGTGCCATACAGTACGAAAGTTATGATACTTTTAGTGTTCTTATCTCAACTATTAGCTGATAGAAAAATTAATTTCAAAGCTCTCCGATATTTTCATCGGTTCGACCCCATTCTGCCCCCACAAACGAGAACCCAATCGCCAAACCGATGCTCGCCTGATCACAGAGCGAGTTCATCGCTCAGGGGTTCGCTCGAGATGATGAATGGATTCAAGAAAAGAAGACGACGACGGCAAGAAGCCCGAATCTAGCGCGAGCAGTACTTATCTCCGGCTTTTTGGAGAAAACTGTGACGGCTTCTTCACACTTCACTCTTCACTCTTCTCTCTCTCTCTCTCTCTCTCTCTCTCTCTCTCTCTCTCTCTCTCTCTCTCTCTCTCTCTCTCTCTCTCTCTCTCTGGAGCCATTAAGTGATACAACCATCGTTTTCCTTGGTCTACCATGACAAGAGCACCGAGGTTATATTAATGTATAATTATATGTATTATGGGGTATTTATGTAATTATGTTTATATTTGTACCCTTTCTGTAATTAGTCACTCCTATAAATACATATCTTACAACCCTAATTAGGGTTGAGCCATCATAAACACTTTGTCGTTGTTTTCTCTCTGACTCTAAACATCAACATGGTATCAGAGCAGAAAACGAATCGAATTCTTCAACATCTCTACCCCAAATCAACACTTCCTTTGCTCCAATTACTATCTCAACAATGTCCAATACATCTCTAAATTTTTCTTCTTCTCTACCATCTCTTTACCCACCATCTTCTTTTTCTGTTAATCCCAATTTCCCATCGCCTCCCGATACTATTGCGCCCACTTTCTCCTCTTCTTCATTCTTCACTGCTGCTCCGATCTCTGCTGCTACTCAAATTACGGCTGTGCAATCATCCTCGTCGTCGCTTGTTCTTCCCAACATCACAAGTCTCGTCTCCATCAAACTCGATGCAGACAATTATCTCCTGTGGAAATCTCAGTTTGAATCTATTTTAATCTGTAACGATCTGCTGGGCTATGTGGATGGTTCTTTTCCATGTCCGCCGAAGCTTATCAATGATCAGACTGGCACTATAGTGGTCAATACTTCCTATTCCACCTGGGTGAAGACACATCAATGTGTTCATAGTTTGATCAATTCGACCCTCACAGTCGAAATTTTCCGTGAAGTTCACGACCTTCGGACATCTCGGGAGATTTGGCTTGCTCTAGGACAACGTTTTACTGATCGCTGCGCGGCCAAGGAAATTGGACTAAAATTGAATTTTCAGAATACTGTGAAGAAACCCGATCAGTCAATGTCTGATTATCTCCAGCATCTGAAGTCAATTGCGGACTCTCTCACCGCAATCAATTGCTCCGTCTCTGACAAGGACTTGGTGATTCAAGCCCTCAATGGGCTCCCATCTAAGTATGATCCTTTTGTCACTATGGTCACAAACGGCCCTACAATTCTCTCCTTCGGTGATCTGCGGTCACGTCTCCTCATCCAAGAACTCCGAAAATCCAGTGCATCATCTTCATCTGATATTCATCATGCTTTGATTGGTCACACCACTTCACCCAGTCCACCGTTTCGAGGATCTTAAGGTGGACGTAATTCTAGAGGTCGTAGATCTGGTCGAGGACAAGGTGGACGATTCTCGCGTGATAAATCGAATTGGCAATCTTCCTATGATCGGTTCGGTTCGCAATCATTATCGGCTCTCTATGCCTCCTCCACCTCCTCTGGTCGGTCTCGTGGTGGTTCGAAGCCCTATGTTCCCCCTTTCACACCGGGAGGTATTCTCGGATCTAGGCATCATCTTACTTGTCAGATATGTAATGGAGTCGGGCATACTGCACTACAATGTCGACAACAATTCAACCATGCTTTTACCACTACTGATCTGTCGGACTCATTCTCAGCTCTCTCGGTTGGTGAGACCTCTGATTCATCTTGGTATCTTGACAGTGAAGCGTCGGCACACATGACTAGTGATATTGGTAACATCCTAAATCCTAGACCTTTTTACGATTTGACAAAAGTCTCGGTTGGTGATGGTCGTTTATTGCTTGTTAAGCAAGTCGGTAAAGCCTTTTTACATACTGGTTCTCGATCTTTATTATTATCTCCCGTCTATCATGTTCCTAATCTTGCTCGCAATCTTCTCTTCGTTGCTCAACTTTGCCATAAAAATTCTTGTGCCATTGATTTTAATGGTTCATCCTTTTCTTTGAAGGACAAACAAACCGGGAAAGTTCTCCTCCAAGCTAATTCTTCTCATGGTCTTTATACGATTTCCAACTCAATGGTGTCATCTCAGTCGCATCCTATCGTGGCTTCCTCTGCTTCACTCACTCGCTGGCATGCTCGTCTTGGCCATCCAAATAAACAAGTTTTGAGTCGTGTTTGCAATTCTAGTTCTAAGTTGATATCATGTGAGTCCTGTCTTGTAGGCAAGTCTCATCGATTGCCTTTTGAGTATGTTAGTCATCGTGCATCTTTTCCTTTAGTTGTAATTCATTCTGATGTATGGATGAGTCCAATTTTCTCTAATTTTGGTTTCAAATATTTTGCGTTATTCATTGATGATTATTCTCGGTTCACTTGGGCATTTCCCATGAAAAATAAATCTGAAGTGCCTACACACTTTCATCGCTTTCGTTGTTTTATCGAAAATCTGTGCAATGCCAAAATTAAATTTTTACAAACTGATGGGGGAGGTGAATATACCAGTAATGCGTTTCAAACATACTTACGTGAAAATGGTATTATTCAACGTTTTTCTTGTCCACAAACCCCATCTCAAAATGGTTTATCCGAACGTAAAATCAAACACTTAGTTGAAATGTCTCGAACCTTATTAATCCATGCTCATATGCCTTCTTCATATTGGGTCAATGCTCTTCTCACTGCTGTTTACACCATTAATCGACTTCCCACTCCTGTCATATCTAATATTTCTCATTTCCAGTGTTTATTTGGGTTCGAGTTTGATTACTCGTTCTTTCGGGTTTTTGGGTGTGCTTGTTATCCTTTTCTTCCGTCTCGTGTCTCTCATAAGCTGGCACCTCATTCTGTGCCATGTGTATTTCTTGGGTACGCGTCAAATCACAAAGGCTATCGTTGCCTTGATCGGTCAAGTGGTCGTGTTTTTATCAGTCGTCATGTTTGGTTTGATGAGGAGAATTTTCCCTTTTCAACAAAATCTTCAAATCATAGTCCCGTACCCCACTGTTCTACATCACCTTCTTCACTTTTTGTTTACTCCAATCAATCTATTCTTCCTTCTACTTCCTTTGGCCCTCAAATTTCTCATCCGCCTCTTTTTTCTTCTCAAGCCCAACCTCCTAATTTGCCTCTCTCCTCCTCTCGAACTACCGAATCTACTTCCAATTCTTTTTCACCTCCACCTCCCCTCTCTCCGAACTCAGTCACTATGTCTCAACCTCACTCCTCTCCCGACAAAATTCCTCCCATAACAGACCCGCAAATCCCCTTTACATCTCTGTCCAGCTCTACCACTTTCATTTCCTCTCTTCCGACTCATCCTATGCAGACTCGTGCCAAATCTGGAATTTCTAAACAGAGGAAAATTTTTAATCTCTCTCATTCTTTTCATGAAGAGACACCGACTTGCTATTCTAAGGCTATTCTTGACCCTCGTTGGAAAGCGGCCATGGCAGATGAATTTAATGCCTTGGTCACCAATCACACGTGGGATCTTGTACTACCTGATCCTTCTAAGAATTTAGTCGGTTGTAAATGGGTTATTAAGATCAAGGAAAAATCTGATGGAACTGTAGAACGCTTAAAAGCTTGCCTCGTTGTACAGGGATTTAAGCAGCAGGTTGGACTGGACTATGACGAGACTTTTAGCCCAGTCGTTAAACCCACTACAATTCGGGTTGTTCTCTCTATTGCAATTTGCTCGGGATAGGCCATACGTCAACTTGATGTCAAGAATGCCTTCTTACACGGCATCCTTTGTGAGGAAGTTTACATGCGCCAACCTCCCGGTTTCTCTCATCCTGAATTCCCGAATCATGTGTGCCGTCTCCAGAAAGCCATATACGGTTTAAAACAAGCTCCACGTGCATGGTTTCATCGCTTCAGCAGTTTTTTATTATCTTTGGGCTTCATGGCGAGTAAGGCCGATCCTTCATTATTCGTCCATGCTTCTTCTCGGGGTCGTGTGTATCTCCTGCTGTATGTTGATGATATCCTTGTCACCGGTGATACTCCTGAGTTATTACGGTCTTTGATTACTCGACTCTCACGGGAATTTGCTATGAAGGATCTTGGACCACTTCACTATTTCCTAGGCATTGAGGCTCATCACCGCTCTGACGGTACGCTTTTATCTCAAGCCAAGTGTGTTGATAGTCTTTTGCGCAAGTTTGACCTTGTTAAGGTCAAGCCTGTATCTACTCCTCTAGCCTCGAAGACTCTATTGTCTGCTAATGATGGTGAGGTTCTCGCTTCTCCGACGTTGTATCGACAAATGGTTGGTGCTCTACAGTATGTATCTATGACCAGACCAGATATTAGTTTTGCTGTGAATTTGGTTAGTCAATTCATGCATCAACCACGATTACCTCATCTCCAGGCCGTCAAACGTATATACCGATATTTAGCTGGCACCTCCACCCATGGCTTGCTCATTGAGCGGGGTTCTCCCACTTCCTTGACTGCTTATGCGGATGCAGATTGGGCTGGATGCTCCGATACTAGACGGTCCACCTCCGGGTTTTGTGTTTTTCTAGGCACCAATCTTGTTTCATGGAGTGCCAAGAAGCAACCCACCGTGGCCCGTTCTAGTACAGAGGCTGAGTATCGTGCTGTCGCTCAATGGTTGCTGAGACTATTTGGATTCGTCATTTACTTCGTGAGCTTGGGGTCCCCCTTTATAATCCTCTCACCGTTTATTGTGACAACATCTCTGCCACCTATCTTGCTATCAACCCTGTGTTTCATGCTCGCACCAAACACATTGAGTTGGATTACCATTTTGTTCGAGAACGGGTTGCTTCCGAAGATTTCCATGTTCGCTACGTGCCTACAACAGATCAATTGGCAGATATCTTCACCAAGGGACTACCTAGTCCACGTCACGCGTTATTAAGATCCAATCTCTCAGTTGTTACACATACTTCGGATTGAGGGGGAGTATTAATATATAATTATATGTATTATGGGGTATTTATGTAATTATGTTTATATGTGTACCCTTTCTGTAATTAGTCACTCCTATAAATACATATCATACAACCCTAATTAGGGTTGAGCCACTATAAACACTTTGTTGTTGTTTTCTCTCTGACTCTAAACATCAACAGGTTACTCTTATTAAGAAGGGCATCGGAGAAGTCCATGAAAATAATGTATAACCCATCAACTCTCTTCGCCCTTAAGTGCAGGCCTCAAATCTTTTCTCAGTCTGTTATGAACGGATCAACTCAACTAAGTCGAGATCGATGTTAGCTCTTGGCTAAATGGATCTGAAGGAGTACTCGAGACACTCAAAAAGGCAATAGATGTAGTATCTCTTCCAATTGATCTAACGCGTTAGGTTAAGGACATCTCAATCTTTATAATCTCGTCCGCATATTTTCTTATGCTGATTCGTCTCAATTTGGCGCCAAGGAAGAGTCTGCAAGGAATCTACGGCAAGAGTCTGCAAGGAATCTTCCAATTGCCATTCTGTGAAGTTTTGAAATTTTTAATTTTTTTAAATTTTTTTTGGGAATCTCAAAAAAATTAAAATTTACTCAAAAAGTGGGTGGCCACAGGTATTCTAAGCCATTTTGTGAAATTTTGAAATTTTTTTTTATTTTTTATTTTTTTGGGCACCTCAAAAAATATAAATTTTACTCAAAGTGGGTGGCTACAGATATTCTAAGCAATTTTATGAAGTTTTGAAAATTTTGATTTCTTGCTTTTTTTTTGAAAAAATTAAACAAATTTCCTATTTTCCCGAAATCTGAATTTTTTTTTATTTTCTCGACATTTTGATGATTTTTTCTGGAATTTTTCAATTTTTTGGGATTTTCTGAATTTTTTTTTAGATTTTTATGAATTTTTTGGATTTTTTAATTATTTTTATTCCATTTCTAAAAAAATGGATTTCTGTTCCTGGAAATAGAATTTTCTGTTATTTATCAAACGGATTTTTATTTCAGGAAATAGAAATTTTGTGCTGTTATCAAACGGGTTTTTGTTCTAGAAATAGAAATTTTTGGTCGTTATCAAACGGGTTTTTTTTCTCAGAAACTCATCCAGGAACCAGAAATAGAAAAATCTATTTCTGGTTCAGGAACTCATTCCGAAACAGAATAGTTATCATTCGCTACCCGAATCGCCGCAGCTAAGTTTTATTGACTCAAGAAAGAACTTTGGAGGAAGCAAAAAAGAAACAATTCACAATATCGACAAAATAGAGAGCCAGTGCTTTTTAGTAATTAAATTATAAAATCCACTTTACATTCATGTTTGACCTAATAGGATAATCCCAACCTTTTCCCCTCCTTTTTTTCTACATTCTTTTATGAAAACTATTTTTTTTTATGGAAACTATTTTAGTGAGTTATAATGTCACAATGTATAAAATAATTAATAAGTTAATAATGTTCCAATATGAATAACATTGATTGGTTAATGATTTCATGGTCCTAACATGGTAGACTCACGTACGGACAACATGGACACGCAAAAGAAGAAAGCAAAGATATCCTTAAATAAAACTAATCAACCCATAATCAAGCCTTAATCATTCTTGGCAGAAATTCAAAGATATCATCAACTCCTCTCTACCCTCAATCTGCGAAAAAGCTTAGCTTAGCTTAGAAAACATAGCAATCTTGTGGTCAACGTTGATATTGATTTATTTTTAATACAGAAAGGAAAAATAGTTCTATTTGGAGAAAATTCCTCAATATCTTAATGGCAGATCCACCTTGATTCACGCTCTTGATTAGACAATAAACATTAAGCAAATCTTGAAATGAGATGGGAGATGGGTGCTGGTCAAAGAACTTTCAAATCTTTTTTTTTCCCATTTATTTTCAGCAACTGCATCATTACTACACTAACCAGTGGTTACTCATTGCTCTTGATAATGTAAGGAAGTACAAGAACCATCTGAAGCGCAGATGTTGAGAGACAAAAACAGAGAGAAGCAATTTCATTTGGTTGGTTTCACAGAAAACATGCATCCAACGACAACTCCCAGAACTGAGAAGAATCTACACAAACACATGGTTGAATCTTGTTGATTGCGGACATCTAGTTGGAGATGAAAGCTCCGAAATGAGAAATTCTAACTATTCGCTGGAGGTGGAGACCGTGGTTTTGTAAGTAATCGGTCATTCGAAAATGTCTTCAACCTGCGAGCGCGACCGTTGCATTCTGATGGCTCTGACGCTGTTCCGGGCGGCGATGATCTCGCTGAGCGTGAGCCTCTTCTTTGACCCCTCCTCGGGTCTTTGTTTGGGGGTGCTGAGTGACCTCGACTTGGCCTCGAACGACTGAGTGTTCGCCATGTAGCTCGGGAGCTCGGAGCGAGGCTCGTAGAAGCTGTCTCCACAAGCACTTTTAACGGGTGTTGGAGTTTTACACTCATTGCCAGCGAGGCGCCACTCAAAGTTCCGTGAGTTTTGGCAATTGAGCATCGAAACGGCATGGTCTGATCCATTGTAGACGCATTCCAACACCGGGCTATGGATTGGGCAGAATCTTGAACGAGTCTTGAACGTGTCAACCTCAACAATTTTGGGGCTCTCATCCAAATTGCTCGCAACCTCTGAAGAAGTAGAGAGCCTCTTGCTGTGGAATGCACTTCTTGCATCACAAACTTTTTCCTGTAAAATTGCAACAGAACACGGTGAGACAGATGATTGAAGCTAATAGCCAAAGGGATATGCTTCAAAAAGATTCTCACCATGGATCTCCTGGGTCGATTTTCCAAAGGATACCGGTTCTCTTTGTCGAGAGAATGGCGAGCTTGATGTGATCTGACAGTGGCTTGGGCTCGAACTATAGCCTGCATGCTACGCAGAGCGGCAGTAGCCCTCTTTCTGACCAGATAGCCTCTAACAAAGGCTTGCAGCTTGACCAATCCTTTGAGAGCTCGAAGCGCTTTCCGGGCCTGTCACCAATGCATAATTTCATCAACATATACCCACGATAAGACGACAGGGTCTTTCTTTTCCATTTGAGACAATGCCAACAAATACCGGAGCTAGCGACCAATGTTCATATGGTGAAGCACTGTAAGAGAGCATATTAGACTAACTGGTAAATGTATAGTCTGAAACCGCAGATGCAAGAAAAATTGAGAGGAAGATGGAACATGGAGGTACCAATAGAAAGATGAAAACAACAATCCAAATCAAAATGTCCGAATCTGACAAGTTCTGGCGGAACAGGAAGGAAACCGATTCATTGACCTCAATCAGTTATTAGTCTCAATGACATGAGATACTGTTCTATTCATAATTGATGTCTCATTTTGACTCCCATGTGTGTGTGTGAGAAAGATGTCATTTGCCCCAGATGTTCACAACAATTGAAGCATCACAGGATTTTATCAGAACCAGATAACAATCTACTTTTACCGAATTGAATGAACCCAGCTTGGGAGAAACATCTTACAAGAAAACCTCTTACAGCGGTCTGAATTTTCACCGCAGCCGACCTCTCCCTCCCACCTCTCGGCATTGTTCCTCTTCCATGGCTCGTTAGCTTCACGACTGCAGCCGCTGCCTCTGCAGCTGCAACCGCGGCATTGGCAGCCACCGCGGTGGCTGCAGCGACCACAATTGCCTGCTCATTTTGCCCCTTCGTTGCCTCTGCAACATAAGACTTGAGCCAAACAGCATCCGAGATCGAACTGCTGGCCCGATACCTATTCACCGCGTCAGAATCCTTCCTGGACTTGCTAAAACTCCACCTTTTCGTCTCTTTCTTGTCACCAGAAACGGAATATGCACTGTCAAGACTGAATTTTTCTCTCTTCATTCCCAATACGGCCTTCAACCATCTTGTAGCTTTTCCCATCTTCTCCGCTACACTTGATAACTGATGGAAATTAAAGATAATCACCTGCAAGTGGAATTGAAGTTGCCAAGCACCAATTGAGAAACAAACCAAAGATGATGCAATTCATTTGTCATGAAAAATGAAGAGGGTGGGGTCTAATGAGAGAGAAACGGGTAGAGATTGGACATTTCTGGTTTAGTGGGAGATGATCTGACAACAACTCGTGTTGAAACTGCGTTTGGAGACAAAAAGATGTCACGAAAACCAGAGACTTTGTTACTACTGTTTCAATGACACGCTACACAGACAGAGAGTCAAGGAGTTTTATTGAGAAAAAGCTGATGAACCCCACTCACCCAAAGAGCTAACTTCGAAAATTTCAAAAAGAGCGCCGAATTTCAGCTGCTAAACTCTCTCTCTCTCTTCTGACCAAAAAAAAAAAAACTCTCTCTCTCTCTCTCTCTCTCTCTCTCTCTCTGCACTGTTTTTCATGTCAAAATCAATATTATTTCCTTCTCTCAGGTAACAGTGACGATAATGCCAGCCAATGACTGTTTCAGAGAATCTCCCACTCTTTCGAATACCCTGTTTGAGTAGTGTCCTTTCTTCCTCGCCTGCCCTTTTAAAGGCCGCATCAAGATCATCACTCTCTCTCTCTCTCTCTCTGATTTTCACAGCATTTAAGGCCACACCAACCAAAGGGTTTTCCCATTTTCGTTCCCAAATAATGATCCCACAGTCAAATTTACCAATCCTTTGCTCTCCTCTGTTTTGATGGTTCAGTCTTCTTTCTTTTCTGAAAATAATAGAGGGTTCCTCTATAGATGACTCTGTGGACCAATTGTTAGAAAAAATTTTGGCAATATGGGTGTCAAAGCTTACTTAATCCCAGAAGTTCCTGCAAATCATTTGCATAAGTTTACTATTCTATGCAGTAGAAGAAATTGTGAACTGCAGTCATGTTGGGGATTTTGAAAATGTTTTTGAGAGTTTCAAATTTTGAATAGTCAGAAAGATTATGGGGGCGATGAGATGGTATTGATGGGATGAAAATGAAAGGGGGAGGTGCATAATAAATTGGACATCTGGGAGGGGGAGGGAGAGCAAATCGGTATACTTGTGCGTATCCCGATGAGAATTTCTTATGGAAAATGAGGATCTGGATCACATTCAATTCAATCCCATGGCTTCTCAGCAATTTGAGTTTCTCGAAATCTCTTTGAGGAAAATTCGAATCTTGATGTTGTCGGAGAGTGGAACATTGATGATGCCCGTGACCTATGCTTTGAATTTCTCCATTAATGCTTTTCTGTCTCTCTGTTTCCCAATGAGCTTAGAAGTTTCCTTTACCATTCTGGTGGTATTCTTGCTCTCCTCTGTTAAAAAGAGAACACAAAGTCGTGTTAACAAGTGCTCTTAAGACACTGTGAAGTATTCATAGTCTAAAATAATTCATTCTGCAAAGTAATGGATACACGAAATTCAAAAACTGTAAAATATTCTCGATTAGCTGTTCTATAACGAAGTCCAAAACGATGAACTTCTTTGTACTCGTCTCTTGAGTTAGTATATAAGTTACTACCAGCAACATATGAACCGACTTAGTATATCTCTCCACACGCACGACCAAATCAGGCCACTAGGGAAGCTACCCGCCTTCGAAGAGAGAGAGAGAGAGATTGGATGACGGCCGCAAGAGACGGAATATGGCAACACGGTATAATGACGATGGCGTCACATGGGCTGACGTTGAGCATGGTGCACGGTGATTGCGGCAGAGGAGAAAGTATTTTATGTAACAGTTACGCCACACGTTATTATCCCGTAACATAATCATAAGATACCTTAATGTACACAGAGACACGTTAGTGGGGAAATAGAGAGAGAGAAAGAGGGAAGGGGGGAAGTATCTTACACTATATTAGATATGAGGCCAATTCCCCTAAAGTCCAACAGTAATTTGGTGGGTCAAGTGCATTTCGCGTTGACTTCTTTTAATTTTAAGAGACCCAATCACTTTTTAATATGGAAAAAGTACTGATCAAACAATTGGGTTATCAATTAAGATATGTTGATAAGATCACACATCATCGTGAAAACTTACTAATCCCGTATATAAATGTGTGTGTGAGCGCCCCCCGCGCACGCGCGCTTAATTTCTAATATAAAGCATTACTAAGTGCAAATAAAATAAACTACTTTGCTACGTATCCAAACTTACTTTGCAACAAGAAAAATAGAAATTACTAACTTCTGATTATGAATTCCTCATGAAAATTGGCATAATCGCCTAAAGAACACTTAATTTTAGATCTAGTCCCAATTCTACCCCGAACTTTATTTTTATCTAAAAAATACCCAGCTTTAGGTGCAATTCAAATCTACCCCGAACTTTCTTTTGTCTAAAAAAACCCTCAACTTTAGGTTCAGTTCTAATCTACCCCAAACTTTTTTGTAAAAAAATCACAAACTTTAACTCTAGTCTCAAATCTGCCCCCATTAGCCTTCCGGCCAAAATTCGCCTGTTAGTCGTCCCTAATTTCATATCAAAGAACAATTTCGTTTTTTGGATGATTTTCTACGTCACCTTACTAATGTAGATTTGTTACCAACGTGGAAATCACATGTCAAACAACTAATGGCGATTTTTCGATGGAGGGTTAACAGGGGCACATTTAAGACTAGTTTGAAAGTTGGTGAATTTTTTTTAGATAAAAAAAGTTCGGGACAGATTTGAGACTATATAAAAAATGTCCAAGGAAAATTTGGGACTAGATATAAAGTTTAGGTTTTTTCATTTTCTTTTAGATAAAAAGAAGTTCATAGCAAAATTAAGACTGGACCTAAATGTTAGGTTTTTTTTTTTTTAGGAAATTAGGTCCATAAAATATACACATATTTTGCTCGAGGATAAGCCAAAAAAGGTTCAAACCGTAAAACCTAATCGAATCCACCAGTTTCGACGATTTGGTTTGATTTTGAAGTGCAACTAGAAAAAAAATTGTGATATTGGGGGCAGACAGCATGAATTTGATAACTTCATCGGGAAATCATTAAGAGAGAGCCCAAGTCTGAACCCGTTAACATATCTAGTTAAACCTACTTAGATTTTTACACTAATGTACCATTGGCTTTGATACCACTTATTAAGAGCGTGCAACATAAACCCGATACTATCACTTGGCGAAATCGTCAAAAGAGAGCCTAAATCCGAGCTCATCAACATATCATGTTGGACTCACATTTACTCAAAAGTTTAATAAGTTGTACATCAACTGTGTATATTTACTAATCCACACCACATCAATTCTTCGATATTGAACTATTCTAACACAACTCACACTTACATCTCAACATCTGAATTGTGATGCCCCAGAACGTCACCCGAGACATGTGTTTTTTATTATTACTAATCTTTATTAATAAATTGGCTAGCTGAAGTCAAAGTCTGAATAGTTTTTAAACATGAATATCACACAAGTTTAGTCAAAATACTTTTGCTTCTTATTAGCAACACTTGTCAAATTTACAAGTCCAGACAATACATCATACAAGTACCAAAAAACAAAAGTCTAGATAGGTCGAGGGTGCCTATCTCTATACTAAATTTTACTTCAAAAGTCAATTTGGACAAAAGTCTGGTGATGTCACGGATTGATAACTTCGCCCTCCAATGCAGAATCATCCTCAACTATGTTAAAGCCCCTTAACGGTCCAACTAACTTGCCATCAAGGTTAAAATACCATGCAACAAAAAGATAAATAACCCATTCTGCCAAACCCACGTCACTCCATACAGTAGAGCTACATTTAGTATATATTGCTTTAGACTCAGGCACAAACGCATTTTCATATACAGCTTCATGATATACGGGAACTCCAAAACATAGAGGCTGTGGAACATCCATCCTACATGTCTGAAAAATAAAGGAATGAGCCGAGACCTAGTAAATGAAAACTCTAGTTTTAAGATAGGAAAATCAACTTACCACTTCACCTGACACAAACAACATACATTCATATCAAACAGTACGCATAGAACTTGAATAAATGTTATACTTTTTTCCATCGGGATGTGCCACAAAATCTGAGCAATTCAACATTTCACAATAATTTTACTCAGACGCAAGCATATGATGTAAAACATTCATGCTCATGCGTTAAGTTCATTACTTCTTCCTTCCGAACACTCACGGGGCATCCCGACCAACGGGGCATCTCGGTTCACCTTCCGAGGGGCATCCCGACCAACGGGGCATCTCGACTGCCGAGGCATCCCAAACACTCCCAGAGCATCCCGACCAACGGGGCATCCTAACACACGAGGCATCGTCACCGTTGAATTTTGTAGGTGACAGAATTTATATTATTCTCATGCAAGCCATAACAACCAAGTATTTGCATGCATATACTCACCTTCTTTTTACATCACATATCCTTTAAAGCAATGAAATGCATCATTCAAGCAAATAAGTATGAAGCAATACAGATTCAGACTCAGAAGGCTAAAGTCTACTCAAGTTCAAAAAGTACACATATCTAGATTTTGAGATAAAACCTACTCGATTTATAAAATACCTATGTCCAGATCTTGAAAAATAAAGTCTATTCGGTTTTAAAAATAAACATGTCCAGATTCTGACCGTAAAGTCTGTGCAGTTTTAAAAGTAGACATGTCCAGATTATGATCATAAAATCTGAGCAGTTTTAAAAGTAGACATGTCTAGATTCTGACCGTAAATTCTGAATAGTTTTAAAAGTAGACATGTCCAGATTCTGATCGTAAAGTCTGATCAGTTTTAAAAGTAGACATGTCCAGATTCTGACCGTAAAGTCTGAGCAGTTTTAAAAATAACCAAAATCAGAATTTGAGGCTAAAATCTGCTCAGCTCAGAAGTAAACAGAATTAGAATTTGACGTTAAAAATCTGCTCAACTCAGAAGTAAACAAAATCAGAATTTGAGGTTAAAAATCTGCTCAGCTCAGAAGTAAATAGAATCAAAATTTGAGGTTAAAAATCTGCTCAACTCAGAAGTAAACAGAATCATCATTTACACTCACATAATATACTCCACTTTGAGTAAAATGATTTTTTACTCTTTCAAACATACATAACACTAGCAAGACAATTTCCACAATCACCTTAAATATGATATTTACACGTTCAAATTTAACCATAACACTTGTCGATTTTCAACACACTTCAAGAAAACAAAACACATCCATTTGAACGTGTTCGAGACCAACTAAGCAATTTCACAGATCATCACATTCTCAATATTGTAACACCTCAAATAAGCATATCACAACCATCCAAGTTAAAAGTGACAAGTAGATTCGTCTAACTTAATTCTAGAGTCTTCACTTACCTTATGCAAAATCTGAACACCCAAAAGTTAAAGTTCTTTCGTACATTTTGGATCGGGTGATGGTGAAAGTAGAAAGTGAAGAAGGAAATTACGGTTTGGGTAAAAAAATTCCCTTCGGTGACTACTAAGATGAAAGTGAAACAGAGGAGTAGACATTGAGGTGGATAAATACATTGCACTCATAGGTGGCACTTCCTCTTTCCATCATGGCCAGGTGTAAGAAATCAAGGGCTTAATCAAGGAGTAATGGCCAAGGAAAATGATTGCTTAAAGCTAGTTTTCAAACTAGAACAAGAAGATTAGCTTAAGAAGACAAGTGGTATGCGGCCAAGCTTGCTCCTTCATGAGCTACGTGAGAAGAATGTCCAGAAGAGATATTTTGTGAGAAAATCTTCCCCCCTTTTTAACACCAAAAATAAATTAATAAAAGGGTTAACACTACTTAACTAAAAATTAACCATTAATATTACTAACTAATTACCAAGGCACCGGTAAATTAATTAATACCGCACTACTATTAACGTACACAACAACGTTTAAAATTCTAAACACGTCGAGCTCGGAACAATTACGTTCCTAAATCCGCGCCTCACAATTTACAGTCCAACAACGATTTCTACGCGTCTGCACAAATACCAAGCTAAAAAAATACTTAGCTTATAATTTAAATATCATTATCGAATATAGAAAATTTCCAACGTCACATACTTATTATTTCGAAATTTCCAAATGTCACATGAATTAAATCGAACCACCAAACCATTTTCAATTTTTCCTTACGTTTCATGTTTTTTTTTTATGTAGTTAAAAATCCTAAAGTTGATACATGTAAATTTTTCTCAACTCGATCTCGTCTTTTTCTGATAAGTAGTCATGCTCCTGTTACTTTTTTAGGTGGTGTGTTTTTTAGAAGTTGAACACGGTATCACGGGTTGTTGTTTTTAAACTTTAAAAGATCGGGAAAAAACGACTGATGCCAGTGATCCTCCTCTGCGCATTATCATTAGAGTCCCACGCTTGCAATGAAATATTGGATTAGAGACTTAACTATCCCACGTTGCCCGCAACGTGAAAACTCAAGATTGATGAGTTCATTACCGCAATCCCTCCAATAAACTAGCAGTAAGGAAGTCTCCACACATATTACTACTTATTGGAGTTTCAAGATACTTTTTTCTTAACTTGGAATTTAAAATATAATACTAGCAGCAAATTGAAAATTTCAATAAGCAAAACAAAGCAAAAAGTAACGACCATTGCGGTTTAAACCGAACCACCTTGTATGGTTTGGTTCGGTTCAATTTCAATATACTAAATGGTTTGATTTGGTTAAGCTCTTTGATGGACTGTTTAATACGGTTCGGTTCGGTTTGGACCGGACAAGACCGGACCCAACCCTAACGAGCTTAGAAAGTGTATCAAATTACATCCAAATCATGGGGTGTCTCATTTGGGCCTACGAGCCGCCAAGCCCATTGACATGGATCATCCTCCTTGGAGTTAATCTTACAAAATTTGAATCCAAGCCCATTCATGCTGGCCTAAAAAATACAAAAAATGAAGTGATCCCTTCCATTAAGAAAAAAAAGTAGAAATTTCCAAAATTTGAATCCAAAGAGACAAGAGGTAAATCACCAGTCGGATCCCTTCCATGGTTCCAATTGACTACAAAATAAAGTACAAAAGATTATGTTATATATATATAATAATATATTAGGAATATCTCATAATATTTACTGTGTGCTTCCAGCCTTCCATAGTTACGCCGGCACACAGGACGGGGAATCGGCATGTGGCCGAGGATCAGAAGAAGATAAACTTCTTTTCCGACTTAAATTAAATTCGTCGATCGAGCAATACATCTTTAGATAAATTGGTAGGAATAAAGTTCAAAAGCGAAAGAACAAGTAAAAATTCCGCGTCCAAAAGGAGAGTCTAGACGGCTTCTATTTTGGCATGGCAGCACATATGGTCAATGAATTTTCGGTGTGCTGTCAAATGTTATTCCTGAACTTTTAATTTGTGTAATATAATCCACGAAACTTTGACTCAACGTGCAAAGTTTCTTGGATCACATTACACAAATTAAAAATTCAGGGATAACAGTTCACTTCACATCAAAGTTCGGGGATTGTATTGAACGAATTAAAAAGTTCACGGACAGTACTGCACGTACGCGCGAGACATTATAAAAAAGGAACAAAAAAAGAAAAAGAAGAAATAGAAAGTGAGAAAGTGTTTGATTGTTTTGGGGAAGGGCCGTTTGGAGTCAAAGGGCATGTGGCAAACCTTCCGCGTGAAGGCGACGTTTCCGTATAATGCTCCGACCTCACCCCACCCCCCCACCACTCAATTATTATAATAACAAATATTAATTATTATTATTATTATCACTATTTCCTCATAATTAAAATATGCAAGAAAAACAGTTCATGTTGTTGTGTCTGTCTGTCTGTCTGCGGGCAAATTAAATTGTGATGCGCGGCGTCATGAAATTTTAAATCGAGCAAAAAATCTAAAGAGGGCCAAAATTAATCCATATTTAAGAAAAAAAGAAAAAGAAAAGAAGAGGAAGTATTTATTCACGTGAATTATACAAAAGGAAAGAACCAGAAAAACCACCGACGCAAGCGTTTCCCGTATTTAAAAAAAAGAAATATCTTCTTCCCTCTCTCTCTCTCTCTCTCTCTCTCTTCAACTCAGAAAAATCAACACTTTCTCTCTCTTCTGTATCGCCTTTCCTTCTTCGACATAATCTAGGGCTCCGGGGATGCTCTTCTCCTTCGCATTCTCCTCTTGAATTCGTGGCGATCCGCTTCCCCCCCCCCCCCCCCCCCCTCCCCCCTCGTCCTCCTCCTTCCTCCGGCGCGTCCCGATTCGATCCGATTCGATTAGGGTTTCGATTTCCTTTGATCCGCTCCTCCTCCCGATGGGACCGGAAAGTCAGCGCCTTTGCCCGCCGCCCGGCTCTCCCCCGCCGTTCCTCCGATCGGGCCTCGGCTCCGGCGTCCCTGCGATCGCCGATTGAATCCTCCGGTTCTGGGGTTTCCCTTTTGGCGTGGGTGGGTTGTTGTTTGTTCTTCGTGGGGGGGAGAAAGCGGAGATCTTTTTTTTCTGCTTTGGGGACATCTCTTTTCGTCGATTGGGACGGTTCTTTGCCCGATTTAGGCTCCGCCTTTTGCGTCTGCGTTTTGATTTGATTCGTCTCGGATGGTGGGTTCGGAGGGGCTGGGGGCGTCGCCGCCCCCCGCGGCGGCGGCGACGTCGACGGCGGCGGCGGCGGCGGCGGCGGCGGCGGCGGCGGCGAGGCAATTCGGGGTTACGAAGCCGATTTCGGTGTTGGGGCCCAACGAGGCCGATGTTCAGAGAAGCATGGAGTTGGAGAAGGTTGGATTTTGGGTTTTCTTGGTGTCTTCCTTTTTGGTTCGGTGTTTGCAAATTTCTTTCTTTTTCACTGGGATTTCCCTTGGGCGCGCAGTTTTTGGTCGATGCTGGACTCTATGAGAGCGAGGAGGAAGCTCTGAAGAGACAAATGGTTCTCCATCGGATTGGGCAGGTAAATTGTGGGTCATACGTGGTTTAGATGTTGGGGATGTTTACTTACTGCATATCGAGGTCTCATTGCGGAAGAGTTCTATGATTTGCAGTTAAATTGATATTAGACTGGAGGAGCTGTTGTTGGTTAATCTTTTGAATTTTGTTTCTGCCAAGTCAGACGATTTTATTGAAATCAGTGAGGCCCTTGTGTGTTACTTTTATGTGCTAAACACAAGTATGGACTGGGATTTGTAAATACCATTTGTATCTAAAATCTGGAATTGTTTGTTTAAGTGTCGTATGCATCCCGAGGAACAACAGAGTCCGATTAGGATCCATGAATAGTTTCTTGTGTTATGCTAGTAACTTATGTGCCAAAGAACATCATAGATGAGGCCTTAATTTGTTTTCTTGGATGATTGCATCGTAGACATGTTTCTTGGAGAAGGCGAACAATACGGGGAACAATCGCAGAACATTTCTGTTCTCAATCTACATATTAAAAATTTTCTTGAGATGCCTTTTCCTCTCTGTGGTGGTAGCCTTTAATTTGAGAGGAAAATTGCTTTTGGACAGCTGAAGGGTGTAATAATGGTTGGTTGAGTTCACTCTAAAGTGAAAGTGCTGGCAAATTTGCTCGAGAAACTGCTGTTTCATTAAACCCTGTTCTGCTACAGGTATTAATGATTGCATTGGTTTCATGCCAAAGATAAAGCGATGGGGCATTTTGCTTAGTAATCTGTTGTATTACATCAAGACTAGATGGAGAGAAGCTGATTTTGCACTAGTATTGTAAAACCAAAAAGATCTTTTTGGATTTTAGGGTCAGAAGAAATTTTTCTTTTTTTTTTTTTTTTGGAAAAAAACAAGGAAATTGTCTCTGCAAATTGAAGCATGTGAGAGTTATTTTTTTTATCTGGCACTTTCATAGATTATGTACATTTGTTAGTTTTGATGAGTTTTCTTTTTGGGTTGCTAATGGTAATACTTCTGGGGTTTTCTCTCATTGGTGCTCGTGTTGTTTCCACTTTGTGTCCCTGACAGTTTTTTTTTACTCTGTATGAGTAAATGATCTAATAATAGGGAAAGTTTCAGGATCTCTTAGTTTGCTGTTTGTAAATTTTGTTGGTCCAACTGTTTTTGGATACTGAGCTTTTCGCAAGTTCAAGAGGATACATGTCAAGTATTGCGGTGATATGTGAAACTACTGTCTGTGGTATAAAGTGTTCTAAGTTTATATGTGCTGTCAATACTGTTCTTTTTCCGTTTTCAGATCGTAAAAGATTGGGTGAAGCAACTAACTCGTCTACGCGGGTACTCTGATCAAATGGTGGAGGATGCAAATGCTGTTATTTTTACTTTTGGTTCTTATAGGCTTGGGGTAAGGTTCTTTCATTTGGTTCATTTACTCCTTATGTGGTTTGATAAAAACAGTTTCCTTTTCATTTCCCACCCTGTTATTTACCCTTGGTTTCAATATCAAAATCTTCAGTAATCTTCCTCTTTGAAGAGGGTTCTCAGCAGTAGCATAATTTTACTTCTTATTTGCATTATGCGTGTGTGTGTGAGTGCATTAGTGTGCAGCCTGTGGTGCCCAGTTCTGAAAGTTACAGGGAGACTGCTGCTTGATTTTTAGTTTTTGGTTGATTTTTGTGACAATAAAGTAGTAGGATTGCCCTTTTAAAATTTTTGTCTATCAATTCATAATTGATGGTATAGTTGCAATGCTGAGTGTTGTTTTTTGTCTTTACATTGTGGGGAAAAATAATACAAAATTTTCTCATTATGCAGGTACATGGCCCTGGTGCTGACATAGACACTTTGTGTGTTGGGCCATCCTATGTGAATCGAGAGGTAATGTAACTTGTTCATCTACTTGTTTATCTGCTCCATCCTCATTTTACACATATGTAATTCCGTTTTTTATTCTCATCAGGAGGATTTCTTCTTCATATTGCATGACATCCTGGCACAGATGGAAGAAGTGACAGAACTACAGCCAGTTCCCGATGCTCATGTCCCTGTAATGAAATTTAAGTATGATCGGATATCAATCGACCTTCTTTATGCAAGCACTTCGCTACTGGTTGTGCCAGATGTGAGTGGAGATTATCATTGTTCTCCTTACGAACTTTGTAACTGTTTCTCTTAGTTTATGCTCAATGTTGAGTCCTCAAAATTTTTGGGCATCCGCCTACACGTCATAAACCTCAGTGTTTTGTGTAGCAGTTCAAAATCTCTGAGTTTCTGATGTGTATGCATGGGAATGTTCAATAATTAGATCTCGATCTCACGCTTGGCTGCACGCAAACATTAGCATAGATGTGGATAACGTAATGTCTGGGGGCTTCACTTTGCTGTAGCTGTATCAAGTCAATCTATAATAGTTAAGATATGGATAGTGGATGCTGAATACATGTAGCTTGCATTTTCAGAATACCCTGCTACAATTTCTCTCTTTTTTAGTTTTTTTGCCCTGCCTCTGTTGTGGTGCAGCCTCCTTATGTCAAACGGGCAGGCTAACGACTATGACCATGAAAAATGTCTTTTATGTGCAAAATGCTAGGACTAGAATCTACAACTTGTTGGGTTGACTTGTGAAGGGAACTGAGTGGGAGACATAGTTATTGGAGATCTTTCCTTTGTCAATTTTCAAATGAGTTTGGATGCTCTAGTTTTCAACCTCTGTAGTTTGAATGCTTCATGGAGCCTCCTCCTTTTTGTGTTTCTTTCATCAGAGATGATATTCTGGCCTTATGCTTGATTTCTTGACCTTTTTCGTGTGAATAACCTTCCTACAGGATTTTGACATCTCCCAAGTATCTGTTCTGTATGATGTCGATGAACCTACTGTTCGAAGTCTCAATGGGTGCAGGGTTGCAGATCAAATTCTAAAGCTTGTTCCGAATGTTGAGGTACAAAGATGTGTAATACATTTTTTCTTGGTGGTTCGATTTATTTGAGTCTCCTTTCCTCGTTTATCAGTTTTATGTCGCTTTTATGCGTGTCGATTTTGTGTAGCATTTTCGGACTACCCTCCGCTGTCTAAAGCTTTGGGCAAAAAGGCGTGGTGTCTATTCCAACGTGAGTGTTCTCCCTTTATTTACTTACATTGATGGATCAACAAACTACGGTGTGGGTCTTTGTTTAAGTTTATCTGATCTCTCTCTCTCTCTCTCTCTCTCTCTCTCTCTCTCTCTCTCTCTCTCTCCTATGATCTGTTAATATGTAGGTGACTGGATTTCTTGGTGGTGTCAACTGGGCGTTACTTGTAGCTCGTGTGTGCCAGCTTTATCCTAACGCGATCCCTAGTATGCTAGTTTCACGGTTTTTCAGAGTTTATACGCAGTGGCGTTGGCCGAATCCTGTGATGTTATGCCCAATTGAAGAGGATGAACTTGGCTTTTCTGTCTGGGATCCTCGGAAAAATCCTCGTGACAGGACCCATCATATGCCTATCATAACACCTGCATATCCTTGTATGAATTCTAGCTATAATGTCTCAATTAGTACTCTGCGTGTTATGATGGAACAGTTCCAATTTGGCAACAAGATATGTGAGGTATGTATATATTAGTATCCTTGCTCACATAAGTTGGTTACTTTTCTGATCTATTCTGATGATGTCCTTCTGTGTTTTGCCTTTTTTTTTTTTTTTATCAGGAGATAGAATTGAATAAGGCCCAGTGGAGTGCACTATTTGAGCCTTATATGTTCTTCGAAAGCTATAAAAATTATTTGCAGGTCGATGTAATTGCTGCGGATGCAGATGACTTGCGTTCTTGGAAAGGCTGGGTAGAATCAAGGCTTAGGCAGTTGACTTTGATGGTAGTCTCTGTCCTCTTTGGCCGGTGAATAGAGGGTTCAACATGATGCATTCCTATATGTGCATCTGTTATGAACTGATGAGATAGATAGCAACTTTTTATGTTATTCCTTGTTTACTTTTTTCTGTTGTTTTGCAGATTGAACGGGACACATATGGGAAGTTGCAATGCCATCCATACCCTCATGAGTATGTTGATATGTCGAAGCAATGTGCACATACGGCTTTTTTCATGGGTTTGCAGAGGAAACAGGGGGAGAAAGTTCAGGAAGGTCAGCAGTTTGACATACGTGGGACGGTTGATGAATTTAGGCACTCAATAAATATGTATATGTTCTGGAAACCGGGGATGGAGATATATGTTTCTCATGTCCGCAGAAGGCAGATTCCGTCTTATGTGTTTCCTGATGGATATAAGCGAGCTCGATCTAGAATTTCAACCCAGCATCAAGGCGAAAAAGGTTCCTCAGAAGATGCTGATGTGTGCAAGGGTGGATCAGCTGAGAGAGACCTGAAAAGGAAGAAGAGCCCTGTAGGGGAGGAGGAGGATGTTAAGCAAGGTGTTTTGGAGAAACGCATGTCTCTCAGTCCACAAACGCGTGATTCAGTATCACCTGAAATTGTTACTGACAAACCCAGCAACCTGTCCCGGGAGAATTCTGAGTTTAACACAACATCTCAGGTTGGCAAAAGTTGCGACGTTGAGTCTATTAACTTTAGTGCTAATACCGGGCCCACCAACCAACAGCTGAAATTAGCTGAGGTTAACGAACAGTCAAAGCTAGAAAATGCAGAAGGTGGCTGTGCTTCTAATTTCAGTGTTGTCGGAGTCCTTGCAAGTGGGGTGGGGTCATGTGAGGGCTTGCGGATGGAGTCTGCTGTTGGAAGCAGAGAGGGGAATAATGGGAGTGTTGAGGGCAGCATTGATGGTAGTACCAATCCGGGGTCTTCACGGAGTGATTCATGTGAGGCAGATTCGAACTTGTCCTTGGAGATTGGATGTGCCGAGTTCGCAGGAGGTTTGCAAGAAGAATTGGAGGTTTTAAATTTAAGCTCTCTTTTGCATTTTCTATTTTTGTGTTTTCTTTTCTATGTTTTTCCTTTTTCATTTAGATCTGATTATGCAGTACCTGGGCCTCTGTCAGGACAATTATCTGTCCATCTAAGTGATTCATTCAAGTTGCATTCCCTCATTGGAGACTCATGTTTCTTTTATTTTTGTTGTTTGATTTACTGAGTTGTTTTCCATTTCATCTATTGTTTTGTGTTGTGAAGCCAAATGCAGTGGTTGGGCTGGCACTTCAGTCAAGGGGCGGCATGGACCCAGAGGTGCAGAAGCCAGTGATAAGGTTCATGCGTTTTTATTTATTGATTGTATTTCAGCATTCTCTACTTTTAAGCACCATGATCGTCTTGACATAGTGCCCTTTTTGGTGGTTTAGTTCGATGGCAGGTTGAGTTTTACATGAGCAGCCAGCTTCGAAAGGATTGAGGAAGTGAATGAACTGATAAAAGTTCTTGGCTGTGAGGCCATCAGAGTCAGAAAGATCAAAGGAGACAGAAAGCCAGCAGTTTCTGGTAAGTACCTATTAATTGCTGGCTTTCATTTGTTTCTTTTTCAGGCGCATTGGTACCTTCATATTGTGAAGCAAACTTCAACCAAAAAATGAAAAAAAAAGGAAGCAAATTAGTCTTCAAACGTGGTGTGAAGCGTGAACTGCAGCTTTCAGAGCAAAGCTTTGCGGTTTGATCTGTACAGTTCTAATTTTAGACTGAAGCGCTTGATGGTCACACTGATTATTCCAGCATTCTGTCAAGTATGGGAAAATGTCGTGAAATATGCTGGATTAGTTCGGTGGGCTTTTCTTTCTATAGAAAGTGGTTTTGTTTATGAGGATTGAGGATCTCGCCATATGGACAACAAGATGCTTCAGTAGGTTAGCGTGTGAAGTATGCAGGTTTCGATGTTCTACTCTGTTTTCGAGTCATTGTACACTACTGACCTGTAATGGAAAGGATATTTAGCCTCTCTCTCTCTCTCTCTCTTGCTGATTTTGACTGGGTGGCCTTAGAGCACTAAAAGTTTATTGATATCATCCGGCGTGCAGCTTGACTTTGCGCTTTCAGGATTGTGACAGTTCTATTTTGCCTTGACCGATATAGTTTGAAAACGCAGCTTCTTTACATGGCAAGAGTTAACCTATTGACCCTTTAAACCGTTGTGTCTGAAGTTTCTTTCATCATGGGCACAAGTTGTCTCTGAAGTTGTTCTTACTCGATTTTTACTCGAGAACATCGTTAGGAGATTTTGCAATGATATTTGGGAAGCTATGTCGAGCGAATTGAATTTGGTAGCGGAAAGGTTAGGAGGTTTCGACATGTGTGATGTTGGAGGAAAAAGGTTATAGTAAACTGGAAGAGTCTGTAATCCCTTTATTTTTAGGATGAAAGGAAGGATATCCCCATTCTTTTGTAGTATTTTTCCTCTTTCAAAATTGGGTTTTGCCCATGTGAGAGTTGCACAAGTTATGCACAAGTCTGGGACGAAAACCCGGAGCGCATTCAACACAACACGGCATAACTTTCTTCTTTCGCTATTGCTCACTATAGTCTATAGGCAATCAAAATCAGTTTCACAGGACCATGCACTTGCAAGGTGCTCTGAAAGAAGTGCATGATGGCTAGGTTTAAATTATGAATTTGTGTCCAGTTTTTTATACCAAGTTCCCATCGATTAAGGAGCATCACTTTGACTATGGCATAACATTTGCCTCTTTCCCCCAAAAATAATTTTATCTGCAATCACCCCCCCAAAATTTCAGGGCTTTTTGTCAAACCCTATCCTCTGCCTGAACGTTTTTCAGGTGGGCTATCCCCATCACCCTGCCCCCACTCTTGCCCCTGTGGAGGAGGAAAGTGTAGAACAAATGGATCTTTAGTCATCCATCTCTTCAAATTTTTCTAACCTAACGTCGTATACATTAGTTTGGTTATGGTTTAGTCTTATCTTATGTATCCAATTGAGGATTGCTTAGTTGTTTATTAGCTTTTCAGGGTTCCCCTCGCGGTTCGCGCCCGGGCCAAATTAAAAAAAGGTTTAGGCTGCAATTATTGCTTAATCACTATACTTTCGATGTTCTCTTAAGAAACTTTGCAGTCTTGCCATCTTTGAATTAATTGAAAATTGCGTCCGGGATAATGTCTATTCAACGATAATGGAACGTCAAAGATTGAATTTCGTAAGGATTTCGCACTACCCTTGTTACAAGATTCCTACTGTTCCTCACTGCAATCATTTAAGAAAAACAGGGGAGAAAAGGATAGCTCTCGCCTTCTATCCTTTCCATCCTTGTCTGCGTAGAATTGACGCCTCGTTTGTCTCTTCCAAGACTCCCGCCAACACAAACCACTACGGGTCGTCTCTGTCTACGAAAGCTGTGCGGTTGTTTTCGCTCGGCAATTTAGGCATGTCCCAATTTAAATTCGGCCGGGAATGTTCATTGAAAGGAACCCCTCCAAAACAAGAAAATCTTTAAGATTGATCCAGCAAGAGGAAAGGAGAAATTGGAGTAAGACATTCACCAACCGGAACGCGCACACGTGGGCGCGCGCGCACGAACGAATGATTCCTTCGGTATGGAGACCATTGCTTGAGGTTTGTCCCTCAAGTTAGGCAGCACGCAACGAAAAGGACCCATCTCTTCTTTCTTTCTTTTTTTTGGTTTTTCTGTGAGTGCGTTTCAAAGTCTCCAAGCCATTTTTGTTTAATTGCCTGTGGGGGCATTGACTCTCTGCACCTAACCCAAAAGAGAAAACCAGTGCTGAGCCTCTAATTTAGCTCATCAAGCAGCTCTGCCTAAGCAATTGACAAGTACAGATGTTGAACTTTTGTTTGAATACATGAATAACAAATCATCCTTGAGGGAGAACCCAGAAAGGAGGAGAGCGAGGGAGGAGTGGGATTTTTTTGGGGGGAGGGGGGACAAGTGGTGAGTCGAGAGTCCATGGAAGATCACTGTCCATTGTCCAAATTATGCACTAAGTGCAGTGGAGGAGGATCTTTCAAGGTCAAAAAGATTAAAAAAAAAGGGCATGCTTTTTATTCACTTTTCATCACTCCTTTCATGCCCAAAATTTGGAAGATTGGATGTGAAGATGACCGATTTGTGTAAGATATTTCATGTGCATTGCTCTCGATACATCTCAGCTCTACTGTCACTGCAACACGCTCCCTACATGTTAGTCTCGTATATCAAATAAATCCAATGATTGAGAATTTACGAGATAAGAAAGCAATGCACTGGGAGGATCGGATAATTTTCCAAAGTTGACGAGCCGTGGAAGATTAGTTGTGCGTGCACTTACCTTATTAATTCTCAGAATATGTGTTAATCAAATCTATGATTTGTCTGATCATCCGAAACCGAGCACCAAATTGGACAAAGGCGGAGACCATATTATCATCAGTCAATAGACCTAGTTAAAACTAGCCATAGATGAATATATCAAGGATGGCACTCATTTTCTTAGCAAAAAGAAAAAGCGGCATGTGCATTAAAATGTTCCGATCGAACTGTTCATCAACAACCCAGTCTTCCTTAGGTAAATCACTCAGAAATCTACTTCAATTTAAGATAGACAAATGCTGCAGACTGAGGGTTTTTAGTCCATCGACAGGTGAGAAAAGGCTTTGGGACAGCAGAGGTTAGAGGTCAAACGAAGCTTGTTTGGCATCAGAAAAATTTTCCCCCTCTGAAAACTTACACGTCAAAGTCAAATGGCATGGGCAGTTAGACATGAAAGGAGGCTTTGACCGATTGTTTTCTCTCCTAACTTGAAACCCAACCGCATAAAGTGGGATAAAGATTTCTAATTGAAGAAGCAAACAGAAGGATTGGAAAGTATCTGAAAATCTCTCACATAATGTAGCATTCAATATTACATGAACCCAAAACCAGTTCCTGCAGTCTTTTTACAAAACTAAGAGGATCTCCAACAAGAGCAAACCCAAACGACCCTCTCGAATCGACTTGCTTTGGAAATTCTACACAGTTAGCTCACAGATAATTTTTTACTTCTCATTGATCAAAGATCTCAAGTCAAATGTCAAACATGAACACAGATAGTGTCTTCTCTTCCTCAGGAAATCCTTCATGAAAAAAATCCTCTGATTAGTTCTTCATCTCATGGCTATTCTTGCCATGCTTGGTACCCACTGGGAAAAAAAAACACAAGAAATTTATTAGAACTCAACATAGAGCAAGAATTTTTAGCCCCTGTATACGAACAAAGCACAAACTTACGGCACATTGCAGAAACTTCAGAGCTTTTCAGCACCCGCAATCGCTTGACGGTGGATACAAACATGCTGCAAACCATACATGCAGCAACATATTAGAATATTAACGAGATGGTACTTTTCTGTACATTAATATCAAAACAAGCCAACTTCCAAATGCGAGAATTCATAAATCCAATTCTCTATATGTCTATAAATAAAATTCCACTACATCGAACTCCGAGTGCACCTAAACCAAAAATTCATCCTAGAATAGGCAAAAGAACAGGGATGTGGGTGAAAATTCCACGCAATGTCCGGAGTACGCTAAACGACGTCAAAACATGAAACGACGAGCCCACTAATGGCTTCATGTTAAGCTCTGTATTATAAAAATGCGAGGGAGAATAATAATCTTAATGCATCAGATCCATCCACCAAGAGATTAAGATGCTTACTGCCATGGCACATCCCCAACAAGCATCCTGTCTCCTTCATTATCCTCATAAACAAGAGTATATTCCCCTCTCCCGTCCAATACACCTGCAATTGGTTTCTCTTCCTCTTGCTTCTTGCTGATTCCACCAGCTGAGGAATCTTTTTGGGCTGGACAATAAGAACAAAAACAAAAACCAAGGACATCGTCAGCTAATCTTCTTCTTGACCCCCAAAAATAAATAAATGGAACATGTATTACGATATTCCTAAATGAAAAAATCTAAGGATTTTATATAGGTCTCCACAATGGTTATAACCTGCAAGAAGGCCTCTGAAGAGTTCATCAACAGCAGATGAGAGCTTCTCATAGCTATCATAGGCTTTGAGATCGACTTTCCTTCCAATGGGGACACCATCCATGTTGATCTTCACAAACATGCCCTTCCTTTCGCAGGTTTCGACGGGCTTGTCTTCCCTGGCAACCTTGTTTGGGGTCTCATTTTGAGGCTCAGGAGATGGTTTGGTGGAACTGTTGCTGGTTATGTTTTTCCTGAATGAGCGAATCGGAGGCCAACCCACCACGGGACCTGGCGCAGTTCTGCTTTCAAGAATATCCAGAGTTAGCAACCAAAAAGATAAAAGCAAAGCCAAATAAGTTAGAATGATTTTGTCGCTAGAAGATGAGTATTTTTCAGACTACAGAGAACGAAGTAATCAGAAGCAGATGCGAGCAAAAAAAAAATTCCTGGATAGAGATTACCATGTTTAAGAATCTCTAAAAACCAAGCAAATATCTTTCTTACTAGAGTTGATAAACGCAGAAGACAACTCATCTGCGACAATCTTTACATGTAAACATCCTTTTAACCCTTTTGACAGGTGCAGAGAACATATGGCAGGGAAAAGGCAAAACTTGCAAGAAAAGGGATGAAAGAGGGAAAAGGCTGTGCTGCCAGAAAAGCTAAAAATACCATCATTACTGAAAAAAGAGCAATAAAAGGAGCCACCTTAGCAGGTATTGAGGAAGAATCATCATGTCATAGGTTAAGAGGAAAAATTAATGCCGTGTACCCAACACGAATAATTTCGAGTACCTTTTCTGAGAGACACTGGGAACAGCTGTATTTGCAGCAGAGACAGAGGCTTGTGAAAATGCCTTCTTCATTCCTGAATCTTGCAAGTTCATCCCTTTATTGCTGCAGTTGGGCTGTGAAGCCTCCTTAGGCAAGAAAGGCAAGTTCTTGCTCTGAGAGATTGTTGATGGGAACTGGTAATATGACCTGGGTGGCTTCATCTGCTCTTGCTCTTGCAGTTTTTGGCAATTCTCTTTGTAATTTGTACCGGTCCATGGAGATGCCAGAGCTTCTGAGGAGCCAAACTTTTGGGCTTGGTGTCCACCATTGTTGGTGGCGATTTGTGTGGAGGCCATGGAAGGGAAGTGGCAGAAGGAAAGGAGTGCCTCGTCTCTTCCCTTGCCGTTCATGTCCTGTTTTTGGTTGAACCAGTCATCAGTGCCTGGTGGACCAAGCCTGAGCTCCAGCTTTTTCTCTTCTGTAGAACCACGAGCTTTGGCTTCATCAATCATCACAAGCCATTCTCTGTTATTGGACATCAAATCCAGCAGTTGAGGACAGGCCACCCCATTTCCTGAAACTCCTTCCATATGCTACCACACAGAAGAGAGACTTAAAGTGACTGGTTGAAGGAGGTACCACAAAAAAGAACGTGCTTGTTTCACTGAAACAGAAAACAAACCAACAAAGTCAAATGAGAAAACATCGCATGAAATTTGGATTTCCACAAGCAAGAGTCACTTCAACCCCAAAATTACATGGATTGAGCTAGGAAGCCAGAAAGATAACAAGCCAAAGCCAAATAGAAACTTTCAGACTTACCTATCTAGGAATTGTAGGTACTCAACCAAAGCAAAAAGTCACGAAGACACACATCCTTAAAACCAGCCAAAAGCATCAACCAGGTATCAAGAAGGAGACAGCCTTTCAGAAACTCAAACACTCGAGGGAAAACACAGGGAGCACAAACTGAAAAAACCACCCATCTCTTAGGTTCTTATAACCAACCCCAGAAGAACAGATACAGAACCCCACCAAGCAAAAGCGAAAGAGAAAAAAACCTAATAATGATCAACACTCTCCCAAAAGCAAATAAAGGGAGCTATGATAGGGAGGAATGATATATGACTTTGGTTTTTATTATTGGCACGCTTAGTGGGTTCACCTCCTCTCTCTCTCTCTCTCTCTCTCTCTCTTATCTTTCTGCGAGATAGGAAGGTATATTGTAAAGGGAGGGTGATTTGTTTAGATGAAGAAGAAGAAGGGGCAAGAGAGAAAAGAGGAACGGAAGATGATAAAGATTCCCTTTGCCCGAAAAACCCAGAACAGGAAAAAATGGAATTTTGAGAGCACTAGGCACGCAACCCTGGCCACGTCCCCTAAATAAACGTTGGATTGTTCAGCTCAACAAGCAAAGCGTGCTGTGTCTGACCTCCCCCCTTAAAAGGGTCTTAAAAAGATGACCCCTCTCTCTCTCTCTCTCTCTTTTCAAGCATCACAGAGAAAAGAAAAGGAAAAGAAAAGGATCCAACCTTTTTTCCCTTCTTTTTTTCTTTTTCAAATCTTCACCACTCTGTCTACAGTTCACTCTACCACACAATCCCGGACACGAGCCAAACTTCTCTATGCGCACTGGTCCAAAGTCTTGACAGACAGAGAGGGAGAGAGAGAAGGGGAAGTGGACAAATGTGAAAGCTACTTGTTAGTTGAGAAGTCCGAGTAAATCAAGCAAGATTGTTTGTTTTCTTCCCGGGAGAGAGACACAATACTGTTCTGTTTCTAACATCTCCTGCTTTTCTTGAATTCCTGTCCTTTGAGCGATTCAACATCTGGTTTTTACCCGCTTCAACACGCGCAACCATCGCAGTCACCTTGTTATAGAGAGATTAAACTAAGGCAAACGTGGGGTTTTTAAGGGGGGATAAGAGAGTCGCTTGCGGCTTAATTCAATGAAAGTTCGCCTTTTTAGGATGCAAGAAATTTGATGGAAAGCTCTCATTGGTGGGAAAGGAACGGCCAAACAGGATTTGCTTCATCCACGTTCTTCGAGCTCGAACAGCTTGTGCAGCAAGAAAATGCAAGAATTCAGAGTTTCTTCCAGGTTGAGTGTAATTAGACCTGTTGATCACATCTTAAATTATATGTTGGCGATGAACGCGCCGGCGGCGCGAAGTTGAATATCTGTAAAAAATATCTTAATTTAAAGGGATAGGATATAAAGATCATCTAATCATGGACACGGTTATTCAATTAGGACCAATCTAGACCCACCAAGCTTGACACACGAACTAGAAACGGCTAGGCAGGCAATTTCAATATTAGGCCCGAGGTCGTGTGGTCAGGGTCGCTCGTTGCCCACACCGGTCGCTGCTATGAAAAAATTTATATTTTTCAAATCATGAAGAATAAGCCTAAGTAAGGATTTTTTTTTTAAATCTTGATACTTAGTCGTATCTATCCAGAATCACATTATTGATCAAGTCTACCACCGACCTCCCTTTTTTTGGTAGGAATAAGAAAAGTATAAGTCAACCAACTTAAGTTGCAATTGAATGAGTTAGGCAAATATAATGAATTTTAGGAAGAAAACTCTTGATTTCTTTTTACCTAGCTAGCCTCTTTTATCTTGTTCTCCATATATTTGGCTAGTGCTTGCTTGCGAAAGTAATAGAGGGACCAATAATAACGAAATGACCAAACTAAAAAATTCATTTTTTCCCCAATCCCGACATGCATCGGTATGTCAATATTCTCTCTCATTCTGTATATCGATAGAGCAGAGAGATCGTTACACAAAGAAGGTTTAAGCTCTAACGCCTGCAAAAATTCGTAATTTTGGTGAATAAAATCGTTGTTCCATCGGTAGATGAGAGTTTCCATTCCATGACTGCTCGTGTAGAAATACTTTATACGAACGGTGTACCTTAAAGAAATTGTGCGAGAGCGAGGGTCCGCGTATGATGATGATATTGCCAAAATTGGGTATTTAGCATATTCCGGATAGTAATAAATTTTCGTGGGAAATATGGACAATATGGGGGAGTCTCATCTCATTAGATGAAGACAAAAGGACAGCAGTAGTATCCTTTTAGAAGAAAAGGTTTTGCATATTATTTTGCAATGCCAAAATGTTGGACGAAATCAATACATGGGTGATATTCTTGACGAGCTTGTCGGTACCAAAGTCGATAATGCAAAAAATAGTCAAAAACCCCAAACTAGGTTCACCGTGATATATTTAGTTTAAATTTTTTCTTGTGATATAAAAAAAACTCCAGATTTGTATCTATGTGAAAAATTTACCTTCTGTCAAAATTTCATTAGATGATTTTCAGCCAAAACGACGTCATTTTTATTTCATTTTAGCCGCGTGGGTGCCGTATCAACATTGTTTGCTTTCTGGCATTTATGTAGGCAGATTTTTAGCAGTCCTCATTAATAAAATTTTGACGGAGGGTAAATATGCCATACAGATAGAAGTTTGAATTTTTTGGTGTCACGAAATAAAGTTTAGGATAAATGTGTTACAGTAAGCATAAGTTAGAGTTTTTGGTGATTTTTGTCCTAATAATTACTATACAAGAAAGTCAGTAAATTTTTCTTGTTTTTCTCTCACTATTTGCAATTACTATATCACCCGAACAGTCTCGCTAAAGAAATAAGATGCGGTTTCGATATAATCGAACGCTCCTATGTTTGAATTTCACTTTCAAAATTGTAAACATAAGAATGTCTAGTAAAAAAAATTATATAGGCAGGAAATTAATAAAAATTAAGAAAAATGTATAGGTAATCGAGCTATAATAAATATATGATGCGTGCGGATACGTTGGTTCATCTTTCATATGTCAATCCATTCAAATAAAAGCATGGTACCCCATTTTAGTTTTGTCTTCCATGGTTAATTTTAGCTTTTCATTTCAATTTTATTTGCCTTTTTTTTCCGTGTTAAAGAGAAAACAAGATTAGTACTGAAAATGTATAGATAAACCGATTAGAATTTAAGCTGAAAAGCAAACAACGCATGGTTCTTGGATAGATATGCGATTCTTTGTACATATTAGTATTTAAGCTGACTCAACTATCCGACGCTATCCTTTTAATGGTTACTTTTTCAACGGTTGCACTCGAGATTATCGGCTCCACTACTCAAGAGCTGTTGCCTCCATTCGACTGTTACATCGCACGCGTTTCTTTTATCGACCGAGTTAGCCTCCATTTCTCAACTCCTCGTCTCAATACTTAATCATTCACCGATATTTTGTCGACTGACTGCTCTCAACACTTGGCAATCTTCTGCCTCCGCTGCTCCCCTAACCGGCCACTACCGATCAAGCCGCCGACCAAGCACCTGGGCATTTTCCGGTGTCGATGGGGGCGCGCGGAGGAGGCAAGATAAGCTGTGGAGATCTAAGCAACAAAGGCATAATAGTGTACACATTCCCATTTCAATCCAGAAGTGGGTCCAAAACTAGGTGACATCAACATTACAAGATGGCGGTTGGTTGCCTAGACATTTCATGGGATTTTTCTTCTTTTTTCCACAACTATTAATAAGAATAGTTTAATTAAACTTTATAGTATGATTAATATCACATTTTTCCATGTCGACGCGATGGCCGGCTGCCCCAGCAGTGTGGTTCCAATGTTTGGATCACGTTTTGAAAAGCATGATTTCCTCCATATATACTCATAATAATCACCCACATTTCCCCAATTTTTTGATACATCTTCTTTTTTTACTTGACGTGGGTATCCTTATCTTTTGCTTGCCATAGACCCCACCACTTCAATTTTTTATATTTTTCAGATGCATATATATAAATATATTATACAATTTTTTCAATTTTTTGATGGCTACTCATCATTCCCATCCACTAAACATATAATTCAATAGACATTTATTTAATATATATAGTTCTTTTCTTTTTTATTTTCTTTTTGCCAAATTGGTCGCCACCATACATCCCTGTCGCCCTCCCTCTTTTGTGGCTTTGCATATGTTTTAGCCAACCTCTTTGATTGAATCCCTGCCCTCACGCGCCGCATATGTGTACTTACTTGCAATGATATTTCATGATCAACTAAGGAATAATTGATGACAAAATCATCACCCCCATAACTAGAATCTTATTAAGGTTCATTCCTTTTTATCTTCTATTTTATTTTTCATTTATAAGGTCTAAAAAGTAGGTCTTCAATGATTCGCGAAAAGAGAGCTAGTAAAAGTCAAGAGAGCGAATTTTCGAGATCAACGAATATTGACTTAGGATCTCTGGTCGGCCATTAAGATTCGCTGAGGGTAATATTCTCAAAGTATGATTCGAAACTTTCTGACTAGAGATTGAGAGATGATACGTGTTAGAAACCTCATCGTGCTAAATTACTTGGTAATTTAGTGGTCGCCAGGGTACGACTGAATTCAATCAGACAACGAATGGCACGAAAAGACGTGGCGAGAGAAATTTCGTCGCATTTCAATTGTTTGATGACTTTGGGGGCAGGAATTGAAGGATGGATGTTGTGAAATTTCCAACACACACTTTAAGAAAGTTCAGGTAGATTACAGAAAACAAATGTGAACGAACGAACATAAAAAATTCTCGAGTTTAATTTATAGGGTGAAATGAAAAATATCAAAAGGTGCGGGATGGTCAATGTAACTCGCTCCATAGTCTAAAGAGTTAAAGTGCATGTGGACCCGAAATCTTAGAAAACAAACTAGGAGTGCAATCGATGCCATGATATCAAATAGATTCTCATGTTCTATGAATCTGCCTCGCATTGGCATACCATATGTCGTAGCAAGAAATTAACTATTTTAAAGTGGGAAAAGAATTCTTGATTTGATAACTCCTGAGGACCCTTTGTCGAGATTTTCTCGTTAGTTATTGGTCAAGAATGAGACTAGTCCACGGTGCATCGGTGCGTTTTCCTTTTCCAATAGCTTTCAACATTCGATGACCCGAGTTCAATCATCATTTCTAAAGCTCTTTTCCTCATCTCGAATCATATGAATGGAGGAGGGTTTTGAAGTTTCTAAAACCGTGATGATTAGGGTTTTAAGGACGGTCTTCTTGCATATTCCAACTTCAATCATGACGTAGGTACGACCGGGGAGTCAAGATCACATTGAAAGCGTGAGAAATCACCCTCCCTATCTTGGGTTAACAAAGGAATCATCCACGCAAGGATGATGCAGGATGATCAAAAAGTGTGGATCAGTTGTCGTATTTCTTAATCAAGCATGCTAATGCAAGATTACTGGTTGTGTGACAAAACTAGGTTAACCCTTATCTTGTCATGCCGCAATAATCTATATAGAGATTTCGTATGGGACTTTGTCAGAAAAGGTCATGTTAGAAGAAGGTTCTAACCCCCATCCATCCATCTCGAGATTATAAAATGTTTTAAGTGTTAATTGATTGGTGTGTAGCAAGACTTTTGTTGTGCTAATCTTTAAAGCTG